CCTCACGCATACAAGGCAAGCGCTCTACCACTGAGCTACAACCCCAGCCCGGAAAAGATGTGTTTAATGTTAGACTTAGGTTTATTCTTCTTGAGGTCTATTAGTTTCAAATAGTTCGAACAGTTTATCTAAGCTCTTTTCTTAAAGGTCAGATGATAGTATCCATCCTCCTAAAGCAAGGGATCCAGTATGTAGTAGACGTCTAGTAAATGTTGGTTAACACTGTCTTCTTTTTCTTCCTTAGATTGCATAATTATTTGTTGAGCACCTATCACATGTTAAACCCTTTTCCTGGCTCTGAAATGAATAAGCACCAGTTAACAAGGCAAAAGAGGTCCCTTCCCTCTCTAATGGAGTGTACATTCTATGGAGTGGATAGAAAAGAAAAAAGGAAATAAATCATACAATTGAAATTAGGATAATTTATTTTTGAAGAAAAGCAAATTTCATTTTGATATGGATCAGGATAACAGAATGCAGATCGAATGCAAATGCACCTTTTAAAATATCTACTCTATAAAAACTTTAAGAAACTTTCTAATTCTTTTATGTGGGTACTGCAAGATATGTAGTCTTCACAGTAAACCTGCAAAAGCCTGAATCCTCCATTGGCCACATTCCTACTGCAGGATTAGGCAGAAATGTGCTCAGTAACTACTTACATGATTAATACTGGGGAGAAGTAGAAGTTGATTGTTATCAGGATTTTAGCAGGCAGGGAAGCAGGTAAATACAATTTTGGTGAGAAGGTTAAGTCCATTGTGGAGCAGCAAAATAAAGAGATGCAGGAATTTTGTGTCTTGGAATGGCAGGGAGTCAGTCATGGACTTCTTTCTTTGGAATGAGTGAGCAGAGTATTTTCCAGTTACAAACAGCAACCTATGATCAGAGGGTCTGCTGGAGACTCAGAGGAGAGCAAAGGGAGGTAAGGGTGGGTGCTTGGGCATAAGCCTTTTGAGGAAGCTATGAGGGAATTCTGACACAGTCTGTGGATTGGGATCACTGCAGTGTTTGTCATATGAGAGGTGTTTAATAAACATTTGTTGACTGACTATTGCACTGGCTCAAAGACATAGGATAGCTGAGGCTAGGTGGTACTTTCCTCAGTTAGAAATAATATTGTCTCTCCACAGCTGAGGGAAGGAGGAACAGAAAGGCTGGATATGGCTCAAAATGGCTTAAAAAAAGAAAAGAGATTTCTAATGTGTTTCAGCCACGTTAAAATCAAATGGCAGACAGACAATAAAAAGCAAAATGTACTAACAGAATTAATATTACTGTGTCAGTTAGTTATGGCTGCATAAAAAGAATAATGCTCCGAATTTCATGGCTAAAAGCAATATGTATTACTTATGAGTGCACAGATCTGCTGAGTGGTGCCTTCTCGATGTCTCAGTGGGGCACATTCATGTATATGGAATGAGCTGTGGGATGGGTAGGCAGCTCTGTGGGCCTGGGGCCCTGGATGCACTCTCTTGCATGTTAGGGGTTGGCTGAGGTAACTGGGTCTCCTTTCGTGTGGTCTTTCATCTTAGAGACCAGGATAGACTAGGTTTGTCTACAAAGCAGCAACAAGGTCCAAGAGTGAGCAGAAATATGCTTAGTCTCTTGAGGCCTCAACTCAGCACCTGCAGATGCTTGTGAGCTGCAGCAAGTGCCAAACCCAGCCCAGATTTCAGAGGTGGGGAAACCAACAACACTGCTTGATGGGAGACACTGCAAAGTCACATTTCCCAGAACGTGGACAGAGTGAGGGGTGAACAAAAGGCAGCACAGTTTTTGCAGCCATGACTCATATGACGGGCCCTGAATTATGCACTAGTCATCCCTTATGTTTTCCAAAATCCCCCATGGGTGTCTGAAACTGAAGGTAGTACTGAAATCTGTACTTTCTCTGTTTTTCCTATCAAATACAACTTCAACAGAATTTAACTTATAAATTTAGGGCACAGTGTGAGATTAACAATGATAAGAATAGTTATAACAGTGTACTGTAATAAAGTTATGAATTGTGTATTCCTGAAAATTTCCATTTAATATCTTCAGACCACTGTTGGCCTCAGGTAACGGAAACCCTGGAAAGTGAAACCAAGGCTGGGATCACTGTTGTATGTTATTTCTGTCCTTGTTTGACACTTGCGGACTATTCTAGAAGGAAGCAGTGTGTTTGGTCTGCACCATTTGAGCTTTTGGAGCAGCTGATGTGTTCAATGTGCAAGTGGGCACATTGTAAACATACTTAATTGGATAATCAGAGTACATTTTTCTGGTGTGAAGTAAGCAATAAGTCTAAATGGCATCTGGTAGTGGTTCCTGTTTATCTTTGTGATTCAAGTGTTTTTATGAGTCTTAAAATATGCTTTATTAACCAAAAGACCCCTCCCCTCCTTTTAAAGTTTCAGCCAGTAGCTTACCAGACATTGTTCGCAGGCTGGCGTTCAGAAACACTGTGTGTCTCACTTGGCCTGACCTCTGTAGCTTTCTAAAGTTGCTAATGACACATGAGTGCAAGATTATACTTTTATATAGTTAAAGAACATTTTTTTCTCTTATAGGCCAATCTGTTAAAAGACTTTGTCTCCTCTTTGGGCCTTTTATTTTGAACTTTAAAATATAGACTTAGTTTCCTCAATGATAGTTTTTGCCAATCGATTCATGTTTTGTGTTCTAGAACTCTGGGCGACTTATATTTTTTCTATCTTCCAGTCATTTCTTAAACATTAGTGTTAGTCATTCACTTACACGTTTTAAAGAATGCCTGCCCTCTTGTGTCCAGAGAGGCTGCTACAGTAAGGAGTGAATTAGCAAACTTAACCGTGCCAGAAAAAGGATATTCTAAACTAAGGGGATTTTTCTACTAAAGAGCTTGCTCAAAGTTGCCAAGCATGGTTGTATAGTATGAGCACTGTAAAAGAAAAACAGACCAAGAAATGAATAGTTATTGAATACTCCTACACTCTGCCAAGCTAGATATACTCTCCAAGTCCAGACTGTGTCTTCCCAGAGAGGATACTCACTAAAATTTCATTCAAGGGTGTCATTGTACCACCTTGTATCACCTGGATTGTGCAACTGTCTCTAGTTTACACAAACCTCTAAATAGCCTATCGGCTGCCTTGTGAAGAAGCTCTTTAAGTTAGTTGGACACTCCTGCCATCATGTGAATTTCATGGAAATTTTCAGAAATTTCCGGAAGTTATACATTGTTAGAGCTGAGTGGCATCACTTAGTCCCAGGCTATCAGAGGAAGGGAATAAGAACAGAGGCAGAATGAGACTTGTCCCACTCATTAGGGGCAGTGCAGGTAATTAAAATGCAAGCTTCTGACTCTCAGTCCAAGCTTTCAAATCTTTAACCAAGTGATCTATTACTTGAACTCACCTACCTATTTTATTCCAGAACTATTGCGTATAGTGCTATTGAAATGATTTTAGGTGACACAGGGACAAATATTTTTTGCACATTAGTAGATATGTATTTGTTTTAATGTTTTTTATGGGAAAAAACCCCAAACATTAAACCTGTAGTTCCTTAGACATTATTGTATATGACAAGGCTAAGTATTTTAAGTTTTAAAATGGAGTTAATATAAAGAAAAATATTAAGTAATGTATATGTTAAAGAACTCAAATTAGCTTTTTACAAGGTACACATTTGTTAAATGTCATGCTATAGGTCATAAAACTGTGAAATTTTTACTTTCTTAATTAAAAAAAAAAGAAAATATCAACAACAATTTAGATAGTACTCAGATATGACAAAAATGACCAAAGTGGTGTAAAAATGGTGGAAGTTTGGGACTACTATTGAGAAGTTTGGTGGAAGTTTTTGGACTACTCCGTCTATTCTGACTGCTGTAACAAAATACCTTAGGTTGGGTAATTTGTAAACTATTGAAGTTTATTGTGTGAAGACCTAGGTTCTAGCTCCAGCACTGGGGAAAAAAAAATTGCTCACAGTTCTCAAGACTGGGATATCCAAAATAAGATACCAGCAGATTCCATGTCAGCGAGTGCCCTTTCCCATAGATGGTGCCTATTTCTGTGTCCTCCTAAGGCTAAAGGAGTTAGCAAGCTCCTGGAGCCTCTCTTATAGTAGCATTAATCCCATTCATAAAAGATGCACCAGAAGACTGTATTACAAAAAGCCCCTCATTGGGGCCTTTCCTGACATTTCTTTAACATCGTTAGCTTGTCCACTTGATGTCAGTTACTGATGACAATATATCCTTTCACTGTTACAGCTGCACTTGATTCTATGTCTTCCACACTCAGCCCAATATAAACCACAAAATAGGTATTCAGAAAAGACTTGTTGAGGGCTGGGGATATAGCTCAGTTGTCAGAGTGCTTGCCTTGCATGCACAAGGCCCTGGGTTCAATCCTCAGCACTACCTACACACACACACACACACACACACACAAAGGTAAAGACTTGTGGCTTCACCAATTTTCCAGTGTTGTCCCAACATTGACCCAGAGTATTAAGTATCCTAATTTCAAAACCATGTTCACATTTATTCATGTAGACATTTTCCACTTATAAAAATCATGTTGACTCATAAAATTGTAAAATACAGAAAAGTAGAGAGAGAAGAAAAAAGACATTCATATTCTTAATTCTTAATTATGCAAAAATGAGCCCTGATAATATCCTCCCTAGTTAAAAGTTAGCTTGAAAAATCCTAGCGAGTTGGGCTCTATTTCTGTGTATCATTTTGGAAATTTGGATTTCTCCTGATTTAAAATATTTTTATCATCCCAAATCATAAAATCAAACAATGGAGAATCTAGGGATAGAGGTCTATGGCCACGTCCTTAAGCAGCAGTTGGGTAGCTGCCCCAGAGGTAAGTCAAAGCTGGGAGAGTCTCCTGTAGATCAAGGAAAATAATAGCTGATAGTCTGTAAAGTGCATTGGCTATGTAAAATTATGTACTAAAAATGATAGTAAAATATCCCATGTATACATATGCTGATTTGTATATTTGTCTTTCCTGTAGGGTTTTTGGAGTCACTGGATGACTTTTACATTCTTAGCAGTGGTTTGGTATTGCTGCAGACCACAAATAGTGTATATAATAAAACTCTACTGAAAGAGGTGATTCCTGAGTCTCTCCTGGCCTGGCAACGGGTCCGTGTGGCAAATATGATGGCATATGATGGCAAGATGTGGGCAGATATCTTTTCAAAATACAACTCTGGTAAGTGGCCTTGCAGAATAGCTTTTAGGCACATATATATGTTTAACTTTAGAGTTGTTAACCAGTAAGCCACATCCACACTATGTCTTTGTATCTCCCAATATTTTAGGCACCTATAATAATCAGTACATGGTCCTGGACCTGAAGAAGGTAAAGCTGAATAACAGCCTTGGCAAAGGCACTCTGTATGTTGTGGAGCAAATTCCTACATATGTAGAATATTCTGAACAAACTAACGTTCTACGGAAAGGTACCTTCTTCGTGCTGTGTCTGAAAGTTTGATGAGTATGTGCATGTGAATATCTATATGCTTGGCATGTTTATGGTGTGTGAACAGATGATGGGCAAGAAAAGATGGGGATGCCATTGCTAGTTACACTGGGAAGAAATTAACAAGTTCAACGCAACTGGTAAACCTATACCTCAGTTCATAAAGGACCATGGGCAGACTGGGATACAGGTCAGGCATTCATAAACCTGACTTTTCGTGGTGCTAATATTGCCTTCTCTCCTGGATTTCTGGTTAAAGTTTTACATTCAATTCAGCAAGTATTGATGGAGTACTACTTTGGCTCAGGCTGAAAAAGCCTGCCCATAAAGAGCTCAGTCGTTTAGTATAGAAGGTTTGTCTCCATACACTTTACTTCTATGCTAGACTGAAGAATCTAGGATAAACTATTTGCATTGCTTGATTTGAATCTTGAACTCCTCAAAACCATGGGCAAATTATCCTACCTCTCCAAGCCTCAATTTCTTCATCTGTAAAACAGGACAGTCTTGGGGTAGATCCACAATCATTTATTTGTGATTTTTGAAATCCCAAAATTGTAGAACCAAAAACTCTTTGTTGCTTTTGGTCTTGGCTCACTTGGTAGCAAACTATTACATGATCTGAACTCATTTAAGAGTTAAGAAGGGTTGCATAGGCCACGTGGTGGGTGCTGATTGGCGGGGTGAGTAAGGAATGGTGAGCAGACACTGTGTCCCGCGGGGATTGGTCGAGGAAACTTTTCAATTTGGCGCCCTTCGGAGAGGAGGGGGAGAGGTAAGGGATTACGTGATGTTCTCACGAGATGGAAACAACTTCAGTGGGGAGTCTCCCACACACCCAACAATTATTTTCTCTTAAAGATTTATCTTATAATTAGGTTATAAAAATATGAACATTTTTCATTATGAGATGTTCCCCAAAGAAAATGTCATACATATGTACTCCATGCTATACTAGAATCTGGAAAACAACAACAACAACAAAAAAACCCCTCAATTCTGAAACTTATTTGGCTCCCGATAATTTTTGGATGTAAGAATATAGATCTTTACAATTTCACAGGGTGGTCATGAAAATTGAGAGAGGTAGTAGTGGGAGAAAATGTTAGCCTCATAAATCTATAAAGCAGTATAACCTTTGTTGTGTAGGAAATGAGAGTTTTTGGCATGGGAAAACAGACTAAACATTGCAGAGGAGAAAGGAGACTAGTTATGAGACTATGAGACTACTTAAGAGATGACTATAACAGATTATCAGCTGATAGATGACTAGGAACAAAACCAAGACAAAGTGTGGTCCCTGGGGATCAGGACCTGGTCCTCGGTTTCCCAGGTCACATTTTGTAATGATTTCTGGAGTGAGGCATCTCAGCATAGAGTGATTCACACCAACTAAATGCTCATAAGACTTATGCATAAAGCAATTTTTTAAGGTGGGGTTTTCAACTGCATGCAGTTCATATCCTACAAAGCAGGAGACCTTCCTCCTTCATTATAGGGAAAAATAGTAAGAAGCCAAATAATTAAATAGTTACTTGGCTAACACAGCAATTCAAAACTGAGAATCTAGCTGTCCAACCACAGCTCCTAAAAGTGTCCCTCAAGAGAGAGATGCTTGCTCAAAGTAGCATTTCATCTTTGCACTATATACATATACATTATATTTGTATAATGTACACACATATGGGAGGGATATATTTTTGGATACATAATTATTTGGCTTCTTACAATTTTTCCATATAATATATATATCAGCATCAACTCTTTTTAGTCTTAGGGAATTTTCATGGGGTTTAAGAAGGGGATTGGAAAGAATCTAAATGCACCATTCTATCAGCAATGATGCAAAGAAAAAAAATGCTACTTTGATCAAGCATCTCTCTCTTGAGGCATACTCTTAGGAGCTGACTGCACCAGCTTGAAGTTTGAACAGCTAGGTTCTTGGTTTTGATTTGCTCTGTTAGCCAATAAAATAATAATTGTGTATCACCAGCTTGTTGTGAGACTAAAGTTGCTTTATTTTGAATGCTTTTGTAAATCATGAAGCTTTATGAAAATGTAAAGTAGCAGTCATTTTCTATTACTCATTTGAGCTGGTCTCATAAAAAGAAATATAATAGTTATTATTCATCTAATGTTTACCAAGTATTAGACAATACCGTAAACACATTTGAATGCATCTCACCCATTTTGTCCCTATGTTCTAGATATGGAACACCTATAAAAGCTAAAATATAGTATATAATATATAATTGTAATACATTAATATTAATAGTTAACATTTTACTGTAAAGCTCAGAAACATGATGTACTCAAATAAATGATGTTGTATAGTTAATACAATATATAAGCTTTAGATTATGATTTCTTATCTATTTTAATGTATCTGTGTCAAATTTTTTAGAATTCTTGCAGGATTGAAACTTGGAACTTAATGGGCTAATGCTCACAATAACCCTTGTAAGGCAAATAATGTCACTGTTTACATTATAAAAATGAAGAAACTGAGGCACAGGTAGAGTAGGTAATTTGTCCAAGGTCACATAGCTAATAATGGCTGAACCAGACTTCAAATTCAGGCATATTAACTCTTGAATCTATATATCCTAGATACGTTCTAGCAACAAATGTGTTTTTTTTTAATCCTATAATGTCAGTGTCATTCTTATCTCTTTCTTCCTGATGCTCTGTCCCAGAATTAGCAAGGTTAAAATAACTCCTTCTTGTCTAGGAGATCCCATACAATAATAAAATGGAGACAGGCAAACAAGGGCCAAGAATATAGAGGTGATACATTATTCCTTGAATGGTAGACACATTCCTATTTTGAATGACTGCCCTCTTTGCAATAACCCAGGCCAGTGTTATTTAGGATGTTCCTAAAATGCTTCTACTAGTTGTGTCATATGTTTGGTGCTAAATGACTAATGAACTGTGTGGCTGTGGCATACTATGAATATTTGAATGAAACTGAGGTTTTATAGATGTTTGTAGTCGAAGGAGTTAAAAAGTCTACTGGAATATTAAAAGCCATCCCCAGCTCCCTCACATTGTAGGCTTCCTCTTTCCCTCCCACTCTTTCACAGAAGAAAAAAAAAATTGAGGCTAATTGCCTACGTTCTATTCATCCATCCCTGAGCCTAGAATTTAGGTGTTTAGTTTTCCTATCCCCAACACTGTGTTTTAGGTGTTTAGTTTTCTTATCCCCAATCACTATCCATGATTAACAATTGAAGTCTCCCTTTTGGGGCCACATTGTGAACCATCTTTTGGCATTTCTGTAGCTGTATCACTTAAGTGAGCTCCCATACACTTTGCATTATATGTTGTTTTGGTTTACAGATAATAGGTCATTTTCTGGTTTATATATTCAAGAATTTGGGGGTAAAGACAAAGAATTCTAATGTTCTTCCCCTAACAAAATAATATAGAGGTATACCAATTCTCTTCCATTCTAAATTAGGATATTGGCCTTCCTACAACATTCCTTTCCATGAGAAAATCTACAACTGGAGTGGCTACCAACTGCTAGTTCAGAAGCTAGGTTTGGACTATTCTTATGATTTAGCTCCACGAGCCAAAATCTTCCGGCGTGACCAAGGCAAAGTGACTGATATGGCATCCATGAAATATATTCTGCGATACAACAGTACGTAGCACATTTCTCAAGAATCATTCTTCAAAACTCCTTTTCTTCCCCATGGATAAAGAATCCATGTAAGTTTAACATCTGTGTACTAGAAGGAATTTTAAGAAGTTATTTAAGTATTTAGTATTCAATTAAAACTTTACATTTTTTATACTCAGCAAACAGAATTTTGGTCTCCTTTATAAAATAATAGGGAAGATTCTACTTGAAAAAAACATATGTTAAACACACAGAAAAAATAAGCTATACAGGCTTATTTTTTATACAGGATATCCCTCCATCCCCCAAACATAGGTTTCCTTCCAAGGGCAAAAACAACTAATAAAAACAAAATAATCATTACTGACTTTTGGAAAATAGTATCAAAATCAAATCTGTATTTCTTTTATTAGAAAAAAATAATGCACATTTATCTTCTATTATTTCTCTTCCATCCACTCTTCACTGTGCAAGGTTCTTGAGGCAGGATAGGCCTTGTGCAGAAGATTTGCAGTTAATTGCTCCTAACATAAGCCAAGAGATGTCTGTATCTGGGAGCAAGCTAAGCTTTCAGGCTTTAATATGTCCCTACATCTAGTATTAACAAGTCCAAAAATCTTACAATGGACAAGTGTATCTCAGAATAGCCAATACTCACTCTTTTCCCCAATATTTTGTTTTCTAGATTATAAGAAGGACCCTTATAGTAAGGGTGATCCCTGTAATACCATTTGCTGCCGTGAGGACCTGAACTCAGTTAACCCAAGTCCAGGAGGTTGCTATGACACAAAGGTAACATACAGTTGGCTTTTGAATTTAATGTCAATCAACAAGTAGGCCAAAGGCAAAGCTGAAGAGGTTGTCTTAGCATAAAGAATAATGTCCCTAAACATAAACAAATTCAGGAATCAGCTTTTTCAGAGATTCTGGCAGTGGATCCCATTGCCTAACTACAAGTCTCCTCTGCCACTTAATAGTAAATCTCACAATTTTGTAATGTTTTCATTGCCTAACTTGTAAAGTGAAAACAACAGTACTTACCTCTTAGTGTCTTGTGAACAAACTTTTAATATCCATAAAATGTTTTGTACAGGAAGTAGTTACTTACAAATGTACATAATCATGATGGTGATAAGTTTTACCAGACCTACTCCCAAATCCAAAGAACATATTATTGAGAGCAGTGTTATTTTACATTAAACATAACTGAATTTAGTTGAAGGAACAAGAATACTGGACCAGGTGCCCAAAGCACTAAAGGGTTTCCACCATGTTAGAATTGATAAGTATTGTAATAGGCCTCAAATTATAGGTAATAAATAGGTTTGCAGTAGTGTGCTGAAGCCCACTCATATGGTATGCCAGAACTAATTGTTAGTTGATATACTGATGGCTTAAAATCTGATGGCAGATTTACACCATGGAAATCAGCAAACATTAAAATCCAGGGTCTTTTCCATCAGAGCTGTTTGCTACTTGACCTATGGTTTATGGATGTCTTAGAGGACAAGTTAACTGGTTGATGGACATAATCATTCTACTACATCTTTTTATACTTTTGGCCTCTATATGTTGTCTTTCCACTTGCATCACCTGTCCTAAATTGTGGAAGAAAACTTTTACTTTTTTTAAAGAGTGAACTATTCTTCATTGGCTTAGAAAATCATTGGACTGCTGGCATTGTTTACACATTTTTCTATCTGCCTAATTCTTAAACAGGAAATGCATTTAGTAGTTGAGTTCCAGCTCAACCTTCTTTTACACTATGTGAGGATTGAAAGGTTAGGTCTTGATGCTCAATTTTTGTGTAATGTAAAAAAAAAAAAAAAGGTAGTGGTGGTAGTGGGGGAGGTATGTAGAGAGCCAGGCACCCATGAAGCCCCAACAAATGTTTGTATTTCATAGTATTTGCAAACATTGAGCAATGAAGTGTTATATTTGTCCCAGAATAGACCCCCCCACCAAAAAAAAAAAATCACCTCTGCTGTCTTGCCTGCAAGAATCCAGCCTAGCTTCCATCTTCAAATTCTGTCAAAGGATATGTTAAAAATATAATTCTCTTTTTGCCGGGTGTGGTGGCACATGCCTGTAATCCCAGCAGCTCAGAAGGAGGATCACAAGTTCAAAGCCAGCCTCAGCAATGTAGTGAGGCCCTAAACAACTCAGTAAGGCCCTGTCTCTAAATAAAATATAAAAAGGACTAGGGACGTGGCTCAGGGGCTACGCGCCCCTGGGTTCAAACCTTGGCACCAAAAAAAGAAAGGAAAAAAAAAAAAAACCTAAAAAATAAACAAGCCAATTCACTTAAAAAAAAAAAAAAAACTTAGTTGTAGATGGGATACAATACCTTTATTTATTTTAATGTGGTGCTGAGGCTTGAACCCACTACACCACTGAGCTACAATCTCAGCCCCTAATTCTTTTTATAGCCATTTTGAGCACAGGATTTTTTTTCCTGTATTATCTGGTGGTTACGTGTTTGCAAGAACCATGGACCTCATTTTTTGATAATCAGTTCCTTCTACTTAAAAACTAATTACTAACCTGATAATAACTTTGAGGACTTTATTGTCTATGGTTTGCTCTAAGCATTGCTTTCATTAAATCTCATGAAACAGGGTTATTAGCTCATTTTGCAAATGAAAAAAACTGAGTCATCGAGGGGTTAAGTGCTTTCTAAATAAGTTTTGAAGGTAGAATTCTGAATATGAGTAAGAATGTAGACCTCATTTCTTCTATCAGTCAATACATACTTGAAAGTGAAATGGATATAGAAGAATATATTACAGGAAATTTTAATCTTAAAGGAGTCCAATATTGTGACTTTGGAAAGAGAAAAGTGAAAATAAAGGCCATGCATTTAGTCAAGGTTTTTCCCCAAATGGTTTTCTAAAATGCTCTCTTCCCCTCTCTTTGCAGGTGTCAGATATATACCTAGCATCTCAGTACACAGCCTATGCCATTAGTGGTCCCACAGTACAAGGTGGCCTCCCTGTCTTTCGTTGGAACCGTTTCAACACAACTCTGCATCAGGGCATGCCAGAAGCCTATAACTTTGATTTTATTACCATGAAACCAGTTTTGAAAATTGACATAAAATGAAGGTGGTACATGAGGGAATAGAACACTGCAAACAAGATACCAAAGGTTCTATTTTAGCTGTTTTTCCCATCAGAACTATTCTTAATAAAATATATTAAATTCAGTTTGTCATTTTAATTGTACAATGATTTTTTTTTTTTTTTTTTTTTTTTTTTTAGCAAGCATTCACTTGTTTGGAACGCTTTAGAAGAAACATTATATATGACATAATACTAGGCTTCAGTGTACAAGCTAACACAAAATAGTATAGTAAAAACCACTATTCGTTTACCAAAATCCATTATTCTTCTTTTATGCCTGCAGAGACCAGACTACATCTCCCAGAGTCCTTGGGCAGTTGTGCCACATGATTAAATTCTAGTCAATCAAACCTGAGATGAGTACCACTTCCAGGCTACTAAGAACTTGTACTCCTCCCATATTCTCTTTCTCCTGGCTGAATATGCTTAATGACAAAGCCTTAGAGGATGGTGAAGCTGTTGGTGATTTCTCTGTTCATCAATAGGCATTAGTTGAGTCTTTGTGGTACAGGCTAGGAATACAATACAGCAAACCTCACTGTTGTCTCGAATTAAAAGCATTGTATCCCATTTGACAGCAATTCTGCATAGCAAATTTTCTTTTGAGTGAATAATTCATACAGTGCAGTGTATAACAGGGTGATTAAAAAATAAGATGGGAGATTTTCAAAAGAAAAAAAAAACTATAAGGGCTGATAATAATCAGAATGAATCAGTACTCAGAATGTTAAAAACCCAGTCATTTATTTCAAAGTATAAATTTCAGGCTTGTTGGACAAAACCCCACTACAGTTAACACTTAAAACAGACGCCACTCTATTGTACATTTAAGAAAAAAAGGAAAAAAAAAAAAAAAAAGACACAGAAACCTTCAAAACCTAATAAAAACAGGGCAACTTTCTACAGCCCAGTTAATATTAGACATTAGGAAGGTCTTACATGGTCTTATTATTTACACTTTCAACTGCAATAAACAAAAATCAGGATGCAAGCTTCCTACAAAAGGATTTATACTTATATATAGTTTTGAAATGGTTGTTAAAATACTAAAGCCAGGATCCCCAAAGGTGTTTGATTGCCCAGTTACCTTATTTACAAAAAAAAAAAAAAAAAAAAAGAGAGAGACAACAGCATTTAAATGTAAATGACAGGTATTTAGTTGACTCTACAAATAAAAAACTAAGAAAGTTTATTTTGACATGATAAGATCATGTGAGGGTGAGAATATAAAAACATGTATTATATTATCCTATACCCCCCCCCCCCCTTTTTCACTGGCTGAGGGGATAATGAGTTTCAGGAATTAGGTAAGTTTGCCATACTAACAAATGCCTCAGGATGATTACTGGTGGTTGTTGTTGTTTTGTGTGTATCTCAGAAAAACCAAACCAAACCAATGAACAAGAAACAGCATTTGCCCAGTAAATAGTTACAAAAAGCAGAATCATATATTGGTTTTAGATAATTATTTGCAATAATCTAATACTGGGACATGGTTTTTCTGGAAATCAGAATAAAGTAGGCCAACAACAGTTCAGTAATAACAACAAAAATCATAAGATACTGAGGATATTGACATGGCCCAAGAAGGAAAGTTAGGGAGAATACTTGGAAGGTATCTAAAGTACCCTACTGTGCTGAGATCACAGTATATATAAATGAGAGATACCATAGATATTATTTTGTTAACTTTTTACAGTACTGGAGAACTCATGGAACAAGATAAATGCCTATCATGGAATACTGACACTAACCTTGCTGCAAAAATGCTAATTTGGAGAATACTTAGAGCAAAAAAACCAAGTTACAAAAACTAAGTTAACACTTAGACAATGCTGTGAGACTTCTGCAGAGAGATGCACCTAAGTAAGATTTTAGGCTCCTTGAAGGTTGCTTTTTTCCAAGGTATTTATTTTAGGGCAATGGGAATGGGTGTGGGAATGGGGAACACCTCTCTGTGAGGCAAATGGTATCCAGACAAATATTCACTGTTCATGGAAGAAAGCTTTCCACTTCTCTTATAAAATTAAATACTGTGTGAAACAGTACAATGTATTCTGCATATTTTAAAAAGTGAGTCCAGACAAATGGAGGGATATAGATACCTTATAAAGTTAATTAACACATGTCGTCTTTGTATGCCATTTATACATTTACTAGCAAGAACATAATTTTAAAAAGAGGTTTGCTCACACCTAAAACAGGTGAAGATTACTCTGACAAGGTTCAAAGTAGAGAGTAATAAACATTACTGTTGCCATATAATCATTCCTACATTTCAGGTTGAAATATCAGAAGTTTCCAGGATTTCCAATAAGGCAATACCTATACAAGTATTGTCAGGCTAAAAATGTAGCAAACTTGCATTCCCAAAATGGGATAATTGAGCTTATTTATAATACTTTGTGAAAAGATACCATGAAATAAAAAAGATAACCATGGAGTATGAACTGATACTAAAGAGTTCATTATCATTAGCTATTTCTAGTTGAGTCCTCCATTCTCTCTTCCAAAGTACTCAAACAAAAAACACTCATCAACATTTAAACTTGCCCCAAATAAAATCCTAGCATTCTAACTTAGTCCCTTTCAGTAAATCCAGTGTGGCTATTGTACATTAATCCCATGGCAGGTTAATTTGAGGAGACCATCTTATAATAAATATACTTTTTTTTTCTGTAAATAATTACAATCTCTCTTTATACCTTCCTTCCACCATCTGGAATAAAATAAGTTTTAGGAAATTATTTTCTGTAGTAAATCTATTTTTAGAATTACTATTTGAGAACTTAGCTTTTCTTTGACAGAAAACACCAAATATAGGCTAAAATAATTAAACATTTTCATTCTACTGGGCTTTCTTCACCTGCTTAATAATACTATGAAAACTTAAAATAAGATTAGTAAATATAAATACAAATATTCATCAAGGGAACCTTTTGTAGGCAGGATAAGCAAATTGTTGACCATAAAACTCATGACCATAAAACCAGTCAATAAAGAACAATTTTGAGCATGGGCTTTTCTGTTCTGCAGACAGGAATGATCTTGAACACATCATCAACATTGCAACCACTTTAGGTAAAAACATATAAACATGCAGATATAGATAGTTGCTCATATACATCTAGAAGACAATTAAGTTTCCTCCTGTTGAAATCTTTATTGCCATAACATTGGCAACTTCATTAACATCATCATTTGCCCTAGAATGAGTAATATCTACATAGTTGGTTGGCAAATTTGACTTGTGGAAAATTCTAATTCTCACTGTGATCTCATTTTCTGAGAGTGAAAGGAAGGTTAGGAGCATTGACATTTTGGTAACCTATAGGCTTTCTTCATCATCAAACTTCATATTTAAGATGACAGTACAATGACCAGTGCAGTCTCTAAAAAAATTTCTTTACAACTATAATACTTTCTATTTTAAGCCATCAAAGTTGTAAACAAAACAATATTAATAAAAATGATAGCTCCCTCCTATTAATTCCAGGAAAAATAAATGACCAATTTATTTTGAGAAGGTAAAAATGTGAATTCAAATTTCACAAGACGACTTGAAAAGTGATTTCACAAACTCCATAAATACTTTTCAAAATATTTCCAGTTGCACTCTCATCAACCCAGACCTCTTGTCCTAAAAACTATCTACTCAAAAAACACTAACCTGACACCAGTATAGCTGACACTCATACTGACAATCCATGACCTAAGTTGAATTTCACTAATTGAGAATGGAGATAACAAGATGTTATATTTCATTATTATAGAGAATGACCCAAAATAATACTTTCAATTTTATCCAAAGCTGATGAACGCTAATCAGATTAAACTTGGCACCATCAAAACAAAAGGTTAAAACAGGAAGGATGACATGAAAATAAAGAGGAAATGGAACTTTCCTCTTGATATATTAGCTCATTGTATTTGGTGAATCTTACTGTTCATTTCCTTTGAAAGGCAACTGTACCATGGGTGGTTAAGTATACTAGAACTGCTTTCATAGTGTCTAACACAGTGTGCAACATAAAACAGGTCTGATGGCAAACTTTCTTAAACAATGTTTTTCTCTTGGTCCATTTTTTGAAGTTAAATAATGACTCAAAAGCATCTATACCCTTAGAAGAAACCAGCAAGTCAAGTTTTTAAAGTTAAATGATGATGCCACAGATGAGAAAAAAAAAAGTTATACGTGTGTGTGTGTGTACACACATATATATGTACATATAAAGGCCTTGGTTTGAACTTACTTGAGGGGGGTGTGTGCTATATTTTGTGGAGATGATGGAGAAATAAAGGTTGAAAAGCTAAGAGCAAAGAGTAACAACAGTGGACATATGGCCATGTTTATTTCTATAGTAAATCTGTAAGGCACAAAATAAACATAAAAGCCTGGTTAAGAAAGGGGAGGGTGTCACTGCAGATGTTTTTCATTTAATTAACAACTTAAGAAACAAAAAAATGTACAAATTCTTTCCTGTGTTCAAATTAACCTATTTTAAACTAGTCATTTTGCTTTTTATTTCTTTGGGTTTTGTTTAGATTTAGTTTAAATCACTTAACTCTGATACTATAGATTCCTTGCAGATATTTAACCTACTTCATACGAAACAGAGGTAAATGTGAGAACAAAAATGGGAGTTTCCACTGCAATAAACATAGAAACAAAATGAAGCCCCCCACCCTGCAAAAAAAAAAAAAAAAAAAAAAAAAAAAAAGTCACATACACACGTTCCTAGCCTCAAAACTAAAGCAAGGTACACACATATACATTTCAAAACCCTGAAGCTGAATTGTCTGGGAGAAGATTCTTGCTTTATGGGCTGAGTTTATTTTGCTTCTGGTTATAAACAAATGTAGTGCATACACACATCTGTCCAAGAAATCTTGCACAATGTGGATTTTACATTAGGTATCATGCACAAGATTAAAAACAAGACCAAAAGGTGAAACTTTTAAAAGAGGAAAAGATAAAGGCTCCAAGGTTTAATTGCTCTGGGAAGAAGAGATCACATCCGTTGACTGAGGATCACAAAAAGGTCCAAAACGTCCATAAATATCCTTGGCTCGTACTGCAAAATAGTATTTGCTGCCAGAAACAAACTGGGTGAGAGTACAAGCCATGGGCAAGGGAAGTGCCTTTACTTCCCCAATCTTTTTCCATTGTGAGGGCACAGTGGCACTGGGTTCCTCATGGTAAGCATAGAGATGGTAACTTTCCACAGTAGCACAGCTTCGATCCACCTCCAAGACACTCCATGACAGTACAATGCCATTTTGACTCTGAACTCGTGCTAACTTCAAGTGTGGCTTCTGAGGCAGAGAGGTGCTGGCAGCTTCTGGAGGCAGACGCTGTGGTTGTGGGGCTTCTGGTAAGGGTGCAGGGTGCACGGGGCGTGGGGGCTCCTAACAAAAGAAGAATCACATTGCTTTACAAGTGATTACAGAAAGAATTATTATAGAATGCTAGAATTAAGACATCCTAAAGATTACATATAGAGCGATCATTTTACATAAATTGGTGTGGGATACCACACTAAGTTTCAAAAGTTCTATTTGGTATTTTGTAACCAATCGTGCCCAAAACAATGGTGTTAAGGGTACTTCTACTAATACTCCTGAGACCTAAAATATTGAGGTTTTTCTTGATAAATAAAATGCTCTTGCTGAAAGAATATCATTTTTTAAGAGACAGTAAGCCAGACGCAGTGCCACATGCCTGTAATCTCAGTAGCTCGAGAGCCTGAGGCAGGAGGATTGCAAGTTCAAAGCCAGCCTCAGCAACTTAGTGAGGTCCTAAGCAACTCGCTGAGAACTTGTCTCTAAATAAAATACAAAAAAAAGGGGAGCTGGGGATGTGGCTCAGTGGTTAAGTGCCCCTGGGTTTCAATCTCCAGTAACAAAAGGGACACTGTAAAAGTAGAAATCATATACTTCTAAAAAATTAATATCTGATTTAAGTAACTATTCTATAGATTCTCACTTGAACACAACATTCTTTAAAATCATGTTTGAAAGTTTATCATATGAAATTGAAGTATACATTATTATATTTTCATTTTGAAGCTGTTTTGCCAATAAAGACAGTATTGTATTCTTATAAATAAGCATATTTAACGTTGAATGCATATTATGTCCTTGGTCAGCTTGCAATTGGTGATTGGTGATATTTAAATTGAACCATGAAAAATAGGACTTAAAGAGATGCAGAAATAGTTATGTACCTTTCAGTCAATAGGTAAAGCATAAGCAAAAGCATGGGGATACTAAAGTGAGAGGATTTACAGGCCAGAAAACCTTTTTCTTAGCCATAGGTTATGTGAATGGAAATAAATAAATAGATAGATAGATAAATAAATAAATAAATAAATAAATAAATAAAAAATTTGGGAAGGTAGGTTAAGGCCACATAATGAAAAAGCAGGGTATTAACTTTAAAAAACCCTCTTGACAGATAATATCCAACACTGGAACAATGTCATTATTGTAAATATTACTGTTATATCTGGGTGTTAGGTAACAATGAGAATAATTTCTTCAAAAAGGATTTGAGAACCAGAAAAAAAGGTGTATGAGTGATTTTTTTTTTTCTCCGAAGTGGAACATATCATTGGTTCACTGACTTTATACTGGAAGTCACATAACAAACAATTAATTTCCTTAATTGAAATTCACTTAACAAATGTTATATATAGTTAAGGCTGGGGTGTAGCTCGGAGCATACTTAACAAGAAGGGGGCTGCAAGTTAAATTCCCAGCACCATTTTGGTATGTGAATAATTTGTATAAACTAAATATTAAATACTAAAGATCTAATAAGATCTTTTTATATTTCCATGGCAGGCTAGTGATGTGGCTAAGTGGTAGAGTGCCTGCTAGCATGCATGAGGCCCAGGGGGTCAATCGCCAGTACCACAAAACAAACAAATATATGCCTTATAGAGTCAAGCTGTCTAAAGTATAAGACAAAGTATTCTAAAATTCTCAAGAGAAACTCCAAGTCATATTTAAGGGTATCCCCACTGAACTAATAGCAGATTTGTTAACAGAAACCAGGATGTCTAGGAAGGAATGGAATAATGCAATCCAAGCCCTGAAAGAAAATTACTTCTAAGCAAGATTACTAGACCTAGCAAACCTATCCTTCAGAATGAAGAATAAAGGCCTTGAAACAAGCAAAAATTGGAAGGAATTCACAACAGCCTGACAAAAACATATTTTAAGGGAGTCTTATATCCAAAAGTGAAAGATTATTACCATCATAAAAGCATATGAAAATATAAATCCCACTAGAGGAGGAGAAACACAAAGGAGAAACATTAAAGAATAAAATGTTTTCAATACAGTACACTATCAAACCACAAAGATGAATAAGGAAGAAAAATAATTAGAATATAATCAATAATAGTAATATTATTATTACCAATAATAATTATTGAATGTAAACTGAAATCTCCAAATAAAAGATTTATACTGCTTAAATGGATAAAATGCCAAAACCCACAATATGCTGTCTACAAGAAAGTTGCTTTACCAGTAAAGACACATACAAACTGAAATAAAAGATAGTAATGGAAACCCAAGCTAGCAGGAACAGCTATACTTCTATCTGACAAAATAAGACTTTAAAAAGATAAAAACTAAAGAGATGAAGAAGGTCACTATATAATGTTCAAGGGATCAATTCGGTAAGAGATAGCATAAAAATTATAGATCTATATGTACCTAATGTCAGAGCATTCACTTTTATAAATAAAAAAAGCCTTTTTGACCTACAAGAATAGATAGATTCCAATTCAATAATAGGAATGCTCACATTGTACTTTCATCAATGGAGAGGTCATCCAGACAGAAAAGTCAACAAAACAAAGTTAAAACTCTACTATAGATCAAAGAGACTTAACATATGCCTAGAAACTATTTCATACAATACCTATGGAATACAATCATTTTCATCAGCCTATAAAACTTTCTCTAGACTAGACAACATATCCATCAGGCCACCAAAAAGAAAAAAAAAGAATCTTAACAAATGTAAAAAACTGAAACCATAGACTTTTATCTTTTCTGATAACAATGGAATAAAACCAGAAGTCAATAACAAAGGACATTTCAGAAAGTATACCAATCAATTAACAACTGAATAACACACTTTTGAACCAACAATGAGCCACTGAGTCAGGATTTCTCACTGCAAATGAACATGGAAATACATCAAAACTATGGAATGCAGCAATAGTAGTACTGAGGTAAGTTTATAACAATGAATGCCTACATCAAAAAAATAGAAAGATTTCTTTAAAACAACCTAATGATATATATCAAGGGCTCAGAAAGCAAGAACAAACCAAAACCCAAATTTAAAGAAAAGAATAACAAAGATTGTAATAGAAATAAACCTAGACTTAAAAGGGAAGGTGAATTTGATCCGTACACGTGATATCCATGTATGGAAATATCATACTAAATTCTATTAATATGTATAGTCATTACTAATGTATATGAAAAAATATAACTCCATGCAAAGCTTAGTACTGTGATGTGCATACAGTAAGAATGCATAAAAAAATATGCTAACTAATACACGAAAAACTGAAGTAGAATTGATATGAGTATTGGTCAAGTTGCTATATTTCCTCTAAAGTTCTCTCTTTTCCTAAAGCGACTTAATCACTTCAGTAAAAACCATTAAATAAACATATAGCTAGCCTTTGACTAGAGGGATCACAGAGTTTTACGTGTTTGATAATAGCTGAAATGGCCTATAAAATCAACTTTTATGATTCTGAATCTGCTCAGATCTCACAAATGAGTATTTGTTTTTGCAACTGCAGTGGAGTTTTGTTTTGTTTTGAATTTTTTTTGTTTTAGTCACAGAAGGACACAATATCTTAATTTTATTTATTTTTATGTGGTGCTGAGGATCAAACCAGTGCCTCACATGCTAGGCAAGTGCTCTACCAGTGAACTACAACCCCAGCTCCTGCAGTGGAGGTTTTAACTGAAGTTTTACAGAAACATATAACATCAGTGCGTCGTTGCTCAAAAATAATTGAGCATATGCCTGAGTATAAACAGATGGGTGGCAATATGGATGAAATAAAGATGATCATGTGCTGATAACTGTCAAAATAGGGTTATCAGTACTGAAGAAATGGTTATACTGTTTTTTCTTTCATATATGTTTGAAAACAGCTATCTCAAAAGTATTTTAAAAATTGCATTAAAATTAAAAGAAATGTCTATTTCTCTGGTGAGATAAAGTTCATTTTAAGATAATACATAAGAAATTATTCACTTAAAAATTTTTTTTAATTGTAAAAAGCTCTGATGGGTTATAAAATTTGCAAAGAATACTATAAATGACATTTTTGCTGTTTATTTTTAAAGGAATATTTGATGAAAACTTATTTGTAACTGCAAACAATAGAAATAACCTATTTGTTACATACCCAAATACAGCCAGAGTTGAAGTATTGTGAATATACTCTAGAGGTGCTAAGATTAGGCCATTTCTGGTTCTGGCTCTGACTAGCTTAATGATACTGAGCAATCCTTTAACAACTTGTGACACAGCACACCATTTTCTTCCCAAAAGGAGAATAATAATTTTATTCCTCATAGGATTGTGAAGATTAAATAATACATGTGAAGTATTTCATAAAGTACCTAACATATATTGAATGCTCCACTGATATTACTTTTTCTACTACAGTGAAATAATAAAAATTGTTACTAAAAGACTACAGAACAAAGACTATAGAGCTAGATTCACGGATGTCTAGGAGGTATGACCTTAAGTTGGTTAACAAACTTGGTGAACATGGGCCACATCTATAACAAAAAAGGGGAGGAAGAGGGGAATACTGGGGATTAAACTCAGGGGCATTCAACCACTGACCCACATCCTCAGCCATATTTTAGAGACAGGGTCTCACTGAGTTGCTTAGCACCTTGCTTTTGCTAAGGCTGGCTTTGAACTTGCAATACTCCTGCCTCAGCCCCTGGAGCCACTGGAATTATGGTGTGCACTACCACACCTGACTGTAACAAAAAAATTTTAAAAGTCCTTTAGGTAGCAGTCCCAAAAAACTCCTGGATTAGGACTAAGTATACTAACAATGCAGGGAATACGTTAAACACTCACAAATGCTAGGCATTATTATTAGTATTTAAAAAGAGATGTTCTCCTAGGAAATAAGTAATATCAAACCCAATCTCTTGTCTTCCTCTCATAAAGCAAGCATACCAATTTTCATGATATTCCATTCCAATCAATGCTATCATATTCATGTCACAGAATGATGTGACACTGTTTTAGAGGTTAAATCTAATGATAAAGCTTTGGATTTTTCCACCTTAACAAATGAATTTCCTAAACCAGTGGATTATTTAAAACAATAAATTAATAATAATATAGTAGTTAGGACTGATATAAGATTTTGAGGGAAAGAATAAAGTTAGAACATAAAAAAATTAAAAATACCATTTGTATGCCATAAGCAAACTCAATGATCATTACCCTTAGAACATTTATTCATAATGGTATGACCAACTTTCTTAAATAAACTCCTACTGGAAGAGCAGAAAGACCTGTCATTTCCCTTTAGTATTACTACTTGAAAGAAAAAATTCTAGCTACAATAATATTTAACAGCTGTATAGTTGAGAATTTTATAAAGCCAAGCATCGACATTTACAGTATGCACTTGTGGTGGTCGGTGATGCACTGTGAGCTGAGGACCTGCTGATCCCAGAGTTAATCCATTGTTAACAACATATGTGGTTGTTTGAGGCACTCGAACTGTAACACCTATAAAAAAAAAAAAAATTAAGGAATAACATCAGAATTCTGTAAATTTAGTAGAACACTGATTTAACACTTGATGTTGGTGAAGCAATATTTTTAGAATGCAGGAAAAAAAAAATCCAAACTAGAAGTTTATACTTGGCCAAACTATCAGTTAAGCATGAAGAAATCTTCGTAATATGCAAGCACTCAAAAAATACAAAAAATACAGAAGATAATCAGAAATTATTTTGAAACCCTATACTCTAATAAAATAGAGGATAGTGAAAGCATCGATAAATTCCTTAAGGCATATGAGCTACCCGGATTGAGTCAGGATGATATAAACAACCTAAATAGACCAATATCAAGTGAGGAAATAGAAGAAGCCATCAAAAGACTACCAACCAAGAAAAGCCCAGGACCGGACGGATATACAGCAGAGTTTTAAAAGAGCTTTAAAGAAGAACTAATACCAATTCTCTACAATCTATTTCAGGATATAGAAAAAGAGGGAGTACTTCCAAATTCATTCTATGAGGCCAATATCACCCCGATTCCAAAACCAGATAAAGACACTTCAAAGAAAGAAAACTTCAGACCAATATCCCTAATGAATTTAGATGCAAAAATCCTCAATAAAATTCTGGCAAATCGGATACAAAAATATATCAAAAAAATCGTGCACCATGATCAAGTGGGATTCATCCCTGGGATGCAAGGCTGGTTCAATATACGGAAATCAATAAATGTAATTCACTACATCAATAGACTTAAAGATAAGAACTATATGATCATCTCGATAGATGCTGAAAAAGCATTCGACAAAATACAGCATCCCTTTATGTTCAAAACTCTAGAAAAATTAAGGATAACAGGAAATCACCTCAAAATGGTAAAAGCTATATTCGCTAAGCCTCAGGCCAGCATCATTCTAAATGGAGAAAAATTGAAGGCATTCCCTTTAAAATCTGGAACAAGACAGGGATGCCCTCCTCTCTCACCACTTCTATTCAACATAGTTCTTGAAACACTAGCCAGAGCAATTAGACAGACGAAAGAAATTAAAGGCATAAATATAGGAAAAGAAGAACTTAAGTTAGCACTATTTGCCGATGACATGATCCTATACCTAGCAGACCCAAAAAATTCAACCAAGAAACTTCTAGAACTAGTAAATGAATTCAGCAAAGTGACAGGATATAAAATCAATACCAATAAATCAAAGGCATTCCTGTATATCAGTAATAAATTCTCTGAAATGGAAATGAGGACAACTACTCCATTCACAATATCCTCAAAAAAAAAATATAAAATAAAATACCTGGGAATCAACTTAACAAAAGAGGTAAAAGAGCTATACAATGAAAACTACAGAACCCTGAAGAAAGAAATAGAAGAAGACCTTAGAAGATGGAAGGATTTACCTTGCTCATGGATTAGTAGAATTAATATTATTAAGATGGCCATACTACCAAAAGCACTTTACAGATCCAATGCAATTCCCATCAAAATCCCAATGACATTCCTTGCAGAAATAGAAAAAGCAATCATGAAATTCATCTGGAAAAACAAGAGACCCAGAATAGCTAAAGTAATTCTAAGCAGGAAGAATGAAATTGGTGGTATCGCGATATCAGATTTTAAACTATACTATAGAGCAATAGTAACAAAAACAGCATGGTACTGGCACCAAAATAGGCTGGTAGACCAATGGTACAAAATAGAAGACACAGAGACAAATCCACAAAATTACAACTACCTTATATTAGACAAAGGTGCTAAAACCATGCAATGGAGAAAGGATAGCATCTTCAACAAATGGTGCTGGGAGAACTGGAAATCCATATGCAACAAAATGAAATTGAATCCCTTTCTCTCACCATGCACAAAAGTCAACTCAAAATGGATCAAGGAGCTAGGAATCAGACCAGAGACTTTGCGTCTAATAGAAGATAAAGTTGGTCCTAATCTTCATCACGTGGGGGCAGGCCCCAAATTTCTTAATAAGACACCTATAGCACAAGAGCTAAAACCAAGAATCAACAAATGGGACATATTCAAACTAAAAAGTTTTTTCTCAGCAAGAGAAATAATAGGCAAGGTGAATAGGGAGCAGACATCCTGGGAACAAATTTTTACCCCTCAAACATCAGAAAGAGCTCTAATCTCTAGAGTATACAAAGAACTCAAAAAGTTAAACAACAAAAAAGCAAATAACCCAATCAACAAATGGGCCAAGGACTTGAACAGAAACTTCTCAGAAGAGGATATACAATCAATCAACAAATATATGAAAAAATGCTCACCATCTCTAGCAATCAGAGAAATGCAAATTAAAACCACTCTAAGATACCATCTCACTCCAGTAAGAATATTATGAAGTCAAACAATAAAAAGTGCTGGCGAGGATGTGGGGGAAAAGGTACACTTGTACATTGCTGGTGGGACTGCAAATTGGTGCAGCATGGAGGGCAGTATGGAGATTCCTTGGAAAGCTGGGAATAGAACCACCATTTGACCCAGCTATTCCCCTTCTCGGACTATACCCAAAAGTCTTAAAAAGACCATGCTAAAGGGACACAGCTACATCAATGTTCATAGCAGCACAATTCACAATAGCAAGACTGTGGAACCAACCTAGATGCCCTTCAATAGACGAATGGATTAAAAAAAAAAGGTTGCATTTATACACAATGGAATATTACTCAGCACTAAAAAATAACAAAATCATGGCATTTGCAGGGAAATGGATGGCACTAGAGCAGATTATGCTAAGTGAAGTTAGCCAATCCCTAAAAAACAAATGCTGAATGTCTTCTCTGATATAAGGGGGGTGATTCAAAATGGGATAGGGAGGAAGAGCATGAGAAGAAGACTACCACTAAATAGGGAAGAGAGGTGAGAGGGAAAAATAGGGAGAAGGGGAGTTGCATGAAAGTTGGAAGGAGAACTTCATTGTTATACAGAATACATTTATGATGTTGTAATGAGAAAAAGAAAAAAAAAGTGTGTCACATTAGATTGGACAGAGAGAAAGGATGGGAGAGAAGGGGGGGATAGGGGTGATAGGAAGGGCAGCAGAATAGACAATATGATTGATGTAGTACATTCCATGTATGTATTATGTGTCAAAATACATTCTGCTGTCATGTATGACTAAAAAAAAATTAAAATTTAAATTAAAAAAAAAAATACAAACTTCTGGGAACCCCTTCTCAAGTACCCACTGAATTATATGTCACTGATATGAGAAAAAAAAAAAAAAAAGAAGAAGAAGAAGAAAGGAAGACATAAGAAAAGGATATCCAGCACAGAAAGAAATACATGTATTCTCACTAGGAGGACTACAAACAAAAATCCCAGAACACTGGTTCTGTGCCACACAAGAAGGAGGCAGACAAACTTCAATGAAATAGTGACTCAAAAGACAAACTGAAGTTGTCTTTATAAAGATTCCTGTCTTCTTTCACATTTCTATTTTTTTTTTTTAATTTTTTTTTATTGGTTGTTCAAAACATTATAAAGCTCTTGACATATCATATTTCATATATTAGATTCAAGTTGGTTATGAACTCCCAATTTTACCCCAAATACAGATTGCAGAATCACATCGGTTATAATCCACATTTTTACATAATGCCCTATTAGTAACTGTTGTATTCTGCTACCTTTCCTATCCTCTACCATCCCCCCTCCCTCCCCTCCCATCTTCTCTCTCTACCCCATCCACTGTAATTCATATCTCTCCTTGTTTATTTTCCCATTCCCCTCACAACCTCTTATATGTAATTTTGTATAACAATGAGGGTCTCCCTCCATTACCATGCAATTTCCCTTTTCTCTCCCTTTCCATCCCACCTCATGTATCTGTTTAATGTTAATCTTTTCTTCCTGCTCTTCCTCCCTGCTCTGTTCTTAGTTGCTATCATTATATCAAAGAAGACATTTGGTATTTGTTTTTTAGGGATTGGCTAGCTTCACTAAGCATAATCTGCTCTAGTGCCATCCATTTCCCTGCAAATTCTATGATTTTGTCATTTTTTAGTGCTGCGTAATACTCCATGGTGTATAAATGCCACATTTTTTTTATCCATTCATCTATTGAAGGGCATCTGGGTTGGTTCCACAGTCTAGCAATTGTGAATTGTGCTGCTATGAACATCGATGTAGCAGTATCCCACAAGAAAGGTCATCCTTGCCTTGTGCTAATTAGGTTTTTCTCTTTTTCTTCATGTCCCACGGATCAATGGAGGAAACTACTTATTTTATCCACAAATGACATTTCTAAGACATACCCCAGGGCAACAGAAGTAGAGAACAGAGACATATACTGTCTCAATCATATTTCAGTCATATATTCAGTAGCTGGCTTATATCATAGTTCTGCCAGAAGGTGCCCTGGTGAATCTAGTTTCCCAAACCTCATTTTTATGCAACTGATTTTCCCAGAGAAGGCTCTTAACAACTTGAGAATGTTAAAGCCAGACAATGAAAAAATGACTCTCATAGCTACCATATATAATAATGACATTATTATAGTTTCTTTAAACACCTATATTTATCTTTGCTATTAAATTTTTCAAAAGTTTCATACACACGCACGCACACACATATATGTATGTATTTATGTATGTATACACGTGTGTATTTATTATACATATAACTATATTGGTGACAAAACTTTTAAAGCAGAATGACCAAGAGAAAAGCAAGGATAGTAAAAGAAAAGGGATTGGGATACAATAGGGCCTATAGGTTACTGGTTAATCTTACTTCATAATCTAGTAAGTTCATAGGTAATCTACTTTATTATTTTTCTTTAAACTTTAAATATACCTCTTACACAACTTGAATTCATATGCTATATTCTACTACTAAAACATATAAAGTATTTTTAATATAATAAATATAGTTACTATAATTTACAAATTATATACATAGTTATATATATCAGTAATATATAACATATGTATAGGAAAGTAAAAGTTTCCTTAGTTTCCCTTCTTTTATTTCTCAAGCACCTTCGTACTTAAAAGAGTTTCTCAATGGAATCTATCTTTTAAAATGATTTCAATCACCTGGACTAAACCAAAATTGAACATATCCACTTTAATTAGGCACTGATGTTTCTTTAACAGAATGGAGTATAGCTATACATCAAATAAGGCACTATATTAAAGATATAGTTAATAAATAAGTGACGTCAAATTGAAAACAACACACATAGCACAAATCATATAGTGTACATATCCAACCTTCTCTGGTGAATTTTCCTAAGGATAAAAAAGTAAATTAGTAATAATTTTTTTTTGGCCACTTAAAAAAATTTTTAATTGAAAAACTATATACTTGTGGTGCATGGTATGTTTTGAAATATGTATATACTGTGGAATAGTTAAATCAAAGCTAATTAATATGCATTACCCTCAAATACTTAATTTCTATTACCAATTTTCAAGTATACAATAAATACATAGTTATCAATTATACTATAGAACTATGTTGTACAACAGATGCTTTGAACTTATAATAATTATTTTAATATGGTATTATACACACTTTTTGCAAAATCTAATGTCAATCAATATAAGCCACTCCAACTAAATGCGGAAAAGGGAACTACATAAACTTCAGAGCCATATACAAGAAAAGAGACTTACTGTTTTGAGGGTTGACCTGACGAACAGCAGGAGCCTGCATAACAGTTCCTCGGAGGGGAGCCTGAGGTGGTGGTGCTGGGAGAGTTGTATAAACCACCTGATGGTTTCCAGGAGCTCTTGGTACAGGGAGTCTTGTAGTCACCTGAGTTATTGGACGATGTGTTACATTCACGGTGGTTGGAGCTAACGGAAGGATAAAAAGATATTAAGAATGCAGCATATTCTATTAAGCAAACCATATTACATGATAATTATCTCCATATAAAATGTAAAAAACTATAAGATAGAGATAAAAGTGTCCTTTATGAACTTGCAAGGTAAAAGTGATAAGGCCAACCAAAATTAAGTGTAATATTAAAATCCAAGCTTTAGAGAACAACTCAATTTCACTCTTTGGTTTGACTACATAATAGAACTAGATTAAGAATATGCTTTGCTATGGGAATGTCTTTAAAGAATAATTTGTCCCTCCTCAATACTAAAGTTTTCCCTAAAATTATAGGCCCTATAGTGTCTTCTAACAAGGAGGTATAGATCTAAAAGAATATCTTTATATTTCAGTTCATCAAAGTGCTTGCTATTGTAATTCATATTTTTATTTTTATCAAGTGAACCAACCTATGTTTTTGGCCAGTTATTACATTCACATTTTCTTCTTCCTTTACTCCGGTAACCCCACCTCAAAAGAACGTTAACACACCTTGAGTAATGTTAACAGACAGTTATCAAAAAATGAGTCTCAATTCACACAACGGAAATACAATAATGTGTTCTATTTAAAAGATAGGGTGTCTCAGGGTTTCACTATTTTGTCTAGGATGACCTCAAACACCTGGACTGAAGTGATTCTCTTGCCTCAGTCTCACTGAGAGCTGGGACTACAGATACCTGTCACTAGCCTGAACAAAATGGTGATTCTGAAGTTAACATTTTCTTGTTAATAACTCTGTGAATTAGAATCACATTTTAGAAATGATCATGTAGTAACAAAACATCACAAAATCTACTTTCACATCAAAAAATGGGTTTCATAATTCAATAAGTTTGAAGAAGAATTACCCATAAAAAAAGAAAGGTTTTCTTAATAAGACAACTCGGGCTAACATGCAGCTCATGGTAGAGTATTGCATAGCATACATAAAGTGCTGGGTTGGATTTCCAGGCAGCCAAAAATAAAACACAAATACACACACACACACACGTGTGTGCACGCAAACAAACAAAAAACAGGTGAAGACCCCTTGGTCTTTACATATCTTCAACTTTCAATGTGAACTTTCATAAAAAGAAACTAATACAAGGAAGACTTCTCTTTTCATTATCTATGCTGTCTATGTATTTGTATAATGACATTTCCTTCTAAAATATCTAAATTGGGTAATAGTTAAAATTTTGTATAAACACAGAAGCACAGGTAACTTACCAGCTTTTAAGGTTGAATTAATAATAACTGCCTCTTTAGATGAAACAGTGGTATTTAAATATGAGAACCAATATAAAACTTCACCAGAAATAAAGTCTTACATAAGCACTTACTGTTTTCTGTAAGTCAATAAGCAAGGCCAAAAAGGTAAAATGTAGTTTAACTGATGGGAAATTCTCGTTAAGCATCTAGAATTCTGAAATCCAACAAATCTACACAGTAATAACTACACCAAACCACACTGCACTTACTATATCAAAAATAATTTCATAATTCAAAGATTAGTTAATGAATGGGTTTGCTAAATCTCTAGAAAATATCCCTTTTCCTACAAATTATTCAGGTATTCTAAGTATAAATTTCATTGGATAAAATCCCATATTAACTCGATGTTTTCCTTAGTAAGCAATTGTTATAAGTACTTTGTAGATAAATTTCCAAGCAATAGACTTATTAAAAGGAGATAAATTGTCTTGACTGGCTTCTGAACAGTGTAAGGTGATACAGATTGTATCTTGAAAATGTCTGATTTATAGTTTCTTGAACTGCAGAAAGTAGAATATTAGCATATAAGTCCTGATGGTGTGTGAGAAGAGTTTAAATTAAGAACCACTCAAAAAAAAATCTTGCTTGAGAAGTCAATGATTATATCTTGGATTTACTCAGAACATAATTATTATAACTGGGCCTTCCAGAGAAACTATGTCATCCATGTTCTTTAAAGTGGCAAATGACAAAGATATATAGATTAAGTCCTCTTTATAATCACTCTCTGCCAGTACTGTTACTTGACACAGTCAGCAACACTAAATTACACTGTATTTAAAAAGACATATATCACCTTCAAAATAACAGTGAAAATTATTCTTAATTTTCTATGTAATCTTTCATCTCAATTCCATGGTCATACTTCTCTACAGGCAAAACTACAGGTTCTGCTCAGTGATTCAGCAAATTTACCTGCAGGTAGTAAGTGTATTGTTGTTTGAGATGGTCCACTTGTTGGCACCCCTGATGCCTGAAGAGGTGGTGCTGGTTGTATGGGTTGCAATGGTCGAGACATAGGCTGAGAAGAACCCATGGCTGACACAGGAGTGTGATTTAGCTTTTTTGGGTCTGTTAATTAAAAGTGACACGTTAGGAATAATGATAGAAAAATTAGAAAATACATAACTTTCCTTTATTGATGAGTTTTAATTTTCATTTTCCATTGGAATGTCACGTTTACCCACTTCTCCAAGAACGACTTCTTTCCCCCTTTTTTTTTTTGGTACCAAGGATTGAACTCAGGGGTACTCAACCACTGAGCTACATTCCCAGCCCTATTTTTTTTTTTTAAATTAGAAACAGGGTCTCACTGAGTTCCTTAGTGACTCACTTTTGCTGAAGCTTTGAACTTGTGATCCTCCTGTCTTAGCCTCCTGAGCTGCTGGGATTATAAGGATGCTCCACTGCACCAGGCGACTTCTTTATTTTTTAATTATGTGTATTTTTGAGGATTTGAAAGCCAAGTCAAGAGCTATTTAAATAATTCACTATTGCTTCTGAAAGCAATTCTACCTCATATTTTTAAGAAGTTGGTTTGTTTTATTATTTTAGTGGAAGTATCTTCTGGATTCAATAGTTATCATGTCAACCAGAATAATTTCATTGCAAGAATACTTATCTATATACATACATACCTGTATCAAGGAAATTTTCCTAGACAAACACTATAAAGTGATGGGTTTGTCAGTATGACTTTGAATTCCAATTGCTCAAGGTTGTTTAGGTTCTTCTGTTTGTCAATACAAATGGAGGCTTATCATCACTATCCGGTCTTTAAAATAAAATACGTACACAATATCTAGTTTCCAAAAAAGGTCTCAATATCCTAGAAAATAAATGTCTGCACCTCAGACAAGTCTCTTAAGAATAGGAATCCACTATATAATGTAATATGAGGAGTACAAGCTAAAAGCCTCTCTATATAAAATGATCCTTATCTATCTTGACTCTAAATAAAATTTAAGGCTTTAGCAATTGATACTTTAATGTTACAGGAGAATAATGTATTTTAGAATGGGGGAATTCAAGACATACCTAAAGGTAGAACAATGCAAAGGGACCCCAGGAAGCAATGGATGTTAGAAAGTGAAATGGCAAGAGCACTAAAACAAACTTTGCTTATTTTATATTTTAATGTATAATCAGCCCTACCTGTATCATCTCAAAATAGCCTACATTTATTTTTGTCCTCTACAGATCCATTATAGTCAAATCTGTCCATTAAAAAAAAAAGTGAAAGCAATACAGATAATTTGAAACTCTAACAAAAAGATTGTACTGGTATGCAGTCAACCATGATGAAAGAATGGTTTTATTTCAACTGTTCTTTAGTTTTATAAGAAAAAAATAACTTTGTTGTCATATACTCAACTGTATAGCTATTTAATTTTACTTCTCTAAAACCAAATAAAGTATCTTATTCCCTAAAATATGACTCAGGTTTTTTTTTAAAAGTTTCACTTCTTTAAGGTAGTAATAATTAACTTAGCATCTGATCTTACTAGATTTTCCACATGCATTCAATATCACCAGAGTTTTACAGAAATATCTGTGAACCAAATTATTTTCTACAAGTTTGAGAAATACTTTTATATCATGAATTAAGATTTATATTCTAAGTTAGCTAAGACTTAAAGAAGTTTACATTAAGGAAAAGACCCACTGAACTGTAATTCAGCATTTCCCAAGCTTTTTTAACCATGAATCATTTTATTTATAGAACATCTATTAACACTTCAAAAAAAAAAAAAAACAGGAAATAGGCTTTAATATATATCCAATTTAGTTCCTAAATATCATAAATCATTATAATATTATAATTATTAAGGATTTTGGATGTGAATGTGACTTGTCCTAAGTCCAATGAATTCTTTCAACTCTAAAATGAGTATGACTAGGTTTTGCAAGGATCAAGTGAAATAACAGACACAAATACAGAGGCACTAATAAATTAAATACACTGCTAGATGCTATTTTCCTCTAGGCCTTGTTCATATTCATTCAAAATTTGATTTCTAATTTTTAACTCAATTTTTAAAACTCTCATTCTCAAAGGGATACAAATACACCAAACATAATGTTGGAGAGATATGTCTTCACAGAATATTAGTGTAACAGGAGGAAAAAATAGAGATATGTCTTCATAGAATATTAGTATAACAGGAGGAAAAAATATATAACAGGAGGAAAAAGGCATTCTTCACTATTATTACTATTGAAGTACCTTGTAAAGCTCCAGTCTCTTCATCATCCATTGTGAGATCAATGACACCACTTGAATCATTGCCAGTGGCTTTTCCACTCTGAAAAATAAAACTGCATTTCTCAAAGGAAACTGGCAGGTATATAGGAAAAATGTAGTAATAATGAAGAGAAAGAGTGATAAGGAGTTGTCTGGTTCAATATGGGTCCTTAAATGGCTTTACCTCAAGAAAAACAGTTTGTCATAGATATGCCCCAGTGTAGTCATGAGTTAAACTCTTACCATGGAAAATACAATTTACAAAAAAAAATTCCAGAAGTTTTTTTTAAAAATGAAGCTGTCCACTGCAGAGACCTTTAAAGTGATTAAATGCTTTAAGTACTAAGTATTAAAATAAGTATTAAATATAAACCATCCATTTTCTGACATCCAAAATGATCAATTCCACTGCAAATCACCAATTATTAATTTAACAAAATACCAAAGCCAATCATTAAAAGTCAGAATTAAGTTACAGAAAGAATCTAATTGAAATCTGTTTTCCCCTCTAAAAAAAAAGAAATTGTAACTCTAATCATGTAATATCTATCCATGCCATAACAGTCTGTCTATAAACTACCTGAGAACATGATTGCATAGTATTGTGCACAGCTGTATGCCCTTTTTCGTACTATGCTTTTGGAGAAGAAACTCAATTTTTTTTTAAATAAATCAATCACTTAATGCTTAATATAAACCTACAATGTAAGGTTTATATTAAATAAGGGTTCAAAAAATGGATACCTTGAAAAATCTACGTGCATTATAGTTTTTGATCTTGTCAGGGATTTCAAAGCCAATGATTCTATTTTCATTTTCAAAAGAAAAAAATTCAAAGAACCAGACTAGAAATAATTTAAAAATTTTCTTTCCCCTTTTCAATAGTGGAAGACTTTCTAAGTTGTATCCATGTTGATGAGATATGTATGTATATATATGTATGTTGTGATATATATATATATATACACACATACATGTACATATACAATATACATACTTTACACAAGTATCATATATGCATGAATGAATCTATTGATATATATACACACACTCCCCACACATGGACACACATATCCACACATGTTCCTTAAGGAGCAAATTATAAAACACTTGCAATTCAAGCTTATTGTATTCTAGAGGTGAAGACTATTTGAATACAAGATTATATTATCTAGTGGATTAAAAGAGAAACTAAAGACTTTGGACTAAGGCAGGATCAAAGACTCTCTTCTAATTCTTTCATTATCAGAAAGACCTTTTAAACTGGAAAAAAAAAAAAAAGAGGTATGATATGGTATGTTATGCCATGTTGACCAATTTGACAAAGGTCGACCTATTGTCCAAAATCATTAGAAATTATAATTAAGACCAAAACAAACAAACAAAAAAATCCACCTTTAAAAATCATATGACAGTGACCAAAAAAAAAAAAAAAAGAAAGAAAATGGAGGGTAGGACAACATAGATAGTTACTGAGTCAGGATTCTTAAGTCAGAAGGACTGATTACATCTTACAGCTCAACTCAGCTATGTGAAAAAGGTAATTTCCTTAAGTTCTAAAATGTGCATACTTGGTAATTTTGGGTTAAATTTCAAAACTAAGTAAAACTTGAAAACTAGACCTTCTAGATAATATTGTAGTGCATGACTTCTTTTATATTCTTTGAGAATTGTTAGGAACTTTTGATTTTGGATTTAGCTGATCTATGTTTATATTTGTACATATGACATTTTAAAAATATGTCATATTTATAAATATGTCATATAAATATGTCAAGTATGTACCCAAAATGCTTAACACTGCACATGTTGCATGGCTAACAGCTTAATAAATGGTAATCATAATTTACTTTGACACATCAAACTGAGAGCAACTCCAAATAATAGGGTCTTTGTCTACAAAACTCAAAACTTCATAAAATTAAAGAAAATGATTTCTTGACTACAAAATTCAGGCCTGATCCCAACACAGTAACATTATTCTAAAATCTTATAACTGGAAATCTATGAAAATGATCTCATTAAAAATGATATATTTTATATAACCATAAATCAGTTAAATGAAAAATTAAAATCTCCTAACAATTCTCAAAGAATGTCAAAGAAGTCATACACTACAACATTATCTAGAAGGTCTAGTTTTAAAAACTGACTTAGTTTTGAAATTTAACCAAAATTATCAAACATGAAAGACCATTGAGTGGAATCCAATTTAGAACAAAAAATCAGTCAGACACTGACTCTAAGTGGAGCCAGATGTTACATTAAGCAGATAAAGACTACAAAATAGCTATTAAAAATGTGTTCGAAGAATTGAAGGAAAATATGAAGGCACAAATAGATCATATCAAAAAAGTCAAATTTGAAAGACAAAAAGGAAAAATAGTAAAGGTGAAAAGAACGATTATTAAAATAAAAATTATCTAGGCAGGCTCAAAAGCAGATTATAGGACAAAGGGGGAAAAAAAAAAAACCCTCTGTGAAATTGGTAACAGATCACCAGAAGTTTTCCAATCCAAAAAAAATAAAGAGAAAAAGCAGAAGGAAATAAGAGAAGAACCTGAGACCTATGCAATAATGAGAAATATTTCAGTAAAAACCAGAGGAAATGAAGGAGTTAAAAATTATCTGAAGAAATAATAACTAACAACTCCCCAAATTTGGTGGAAAAACATTAGTTTACAAATCTAAGAGGTTCAATGAACCTCAATTGGGACAAACCTAAAAAAATATACTACTATATATATTTCACAATCAAACTACTGAATACCAATAATGAAAAAAACCTGTTAAAACAACCAGAGAAAATTATATTTTACAAAGGAGCAAAAACTAATGCTTTTGTTCAAACTAAGAAAGCAAGAAGACTGAAGAACATATCCAAAGTCCTGATATCTTTTTAAAAGAAGAATTCTAAATCCAATGAAGTTCTCCCCGAGGAAAAAAGACAACACACAAAAGCACATGTTCGGGATATTAAAAAAGAAAAGAAAACTCATCCTGAGCAAATCTATATATAGAAAAACACAAGAAAATTCTTCAGTTTGAAAGGAAATATCAATTTGAATTTATAGAAAGAAAAAGAAGACCAGAAAATATAAACACAAGGATAAGTTTTAAAGTCTAAATATCTTTTCCATTCTTAATTTCTTTAAAATTTACAGGGCAATTTAAAAATAATATATTTGTAAATTTATAACACATAGATGTTATAAATGTGGAATGTGTGAAGATATGCAAAAGAATGTAGTATATGTAAAGATAAACCCACTATATGAAAATAGAAATGTAACATACAGAAAGCAAGAACACTAAAAGAATAGCTGTAAGGTTCCTATAATTTATCTAAATAATTCAATCAACTCTAAGTATAGTGGTATAAGTTAACCAGTAGTATAACTCAGATACATACTGTAAACCCTAGAGTACCCCTCTTTAAAAAAACCAAAACATATAGTACAAAGCCAATAGGGGAATGAAGATAAAGAACAGCAAAATAGGAAACTTAAGCATAAATATATCCATATTTACATTAAGTATAAACGGACTAAATAATCCTATCAAAATGCAGACACTGTCAGAAGGGTTAACACAGCAAGGAACCAGAAAATAACTAATTTTTTGTCTTGTAGGAATTCACTTTAAAATATAAAGATACAAATGAGTCAATAGTAAAAGGCTGATAAAAAAAATAACATATAGTAAGCACAAAAATACTGCTGTGCCTATTAATATAAAGTAGAAAACTTTATAATGATAAAAGGGACAATGTTTCAGGAAGGTATAACATGATTATATATTATACATTATAGAAAACCATATAGTTTTAATAGAGCATCAAAATGTATGAAGCAAAACTGACAAAATTACAAGGAAAAACAGAAACACTCATAGTCATGTTGGAGACTAATATACCACTCTTGGTAAAAGAAGGGAGAAAAAAACATTACACCAAAACAAAACAATCCAGTAAACACATAGAAAATCCAAAGTACATTATCAACCACACTATTTTAATTGATATTTATAGAACTATACCACTATACCCAACAGCAAAATACATACTCTTTTGAAGTGTAATGATACATTCACCAATATATACCATGCACTGGGCTTTATAACACAGTCTAATATACTCAGGTACTGAAATCATACAGAGGATATTTTCTAAATACAACAACACTGAATGAGAAATCAGCCAAAAGATACTTTCAAAATCTCCAAATACCATGGAATTAAAAAACAGGCTAAGCAACCTAGGATCCAAAAAGAAATAACAAGAAAATAAATGATATGAAATTGGGACATTATAAAAATTTATGGAATGCAGCTAAAGAAGTGCTCAGAGAAAATCTTACATCATTAAAATCTTCTGTAGGATAAGAAAAAAAGGTCTATAATCAATGTTCTAAGTTATCAAACTATATTTTTTACTGCTCACAATATGACTGATAAATATGCACTACAGAGAGTTTGCTGGCTAGACTCTCTTTCTGAGAAACATAATTGGTAATTCTTTCTATAGTTATTAAACATTTATTTCTAATATTTATAGTCTCTACTTACATTTATTAGCATATTTAAACCTATGACGCAGTAACATTAGTTCCATTTTATAGGTGAAATATCTAAAAAAGACACCATGTTTATATCTATCCTTACATTACTGAACCTTCTAGTTTGAAGCCATCAAATATTGATTTTATCAATTATTTTTAGCACTCAGAACTAAAAAGTTAGCTAATAATGTATCAGTCTTATAAGGTCAACACTTAAATAAAATTGAGAGCACAAATATCGGCTTTTTTTAAAAAATTGTGGTAATAAATATAAAATAAAGAACATATCTGAAAGACTAGAGAGAGCAAGGCACTTTAGCAATTACGAAGAAAGAACTAACACAAAAGATCTAGTTGCTTACCACCTGTACATCTCTCTAAAGGAACCTACAACCATAACTGAAGCTTGGTCAGCTACCAGGAATGTGGCCCTTGGAAAGTCATGTTAATGACTAATAATTTTCTAATAATACTCTCTCATTTTCTATACTACATGTCTTCTAGAAAGTATTTATTAACCATTATGAATTTATTAACACCTCATGCAATTTGACAACACTTTGATCTTCAAAATCAAAGATTGCTAAAGTTCATAAGAAATAAAATCTCTTTAAAGTTTTTATTTGATCTGTGAACACTTGTGCATATTTAACTTGAGTCAAAAATTCATCATTTTAAAGGAGGATACTCATAATTAAAGATCACTATAACCTTGTTTTAAAATTCTTATAATATACTTGTGCCTGATACTCAAGACTAGGAATAATATGACTTTCTTGAAATGATTAAAAAGAAGAAAATAAACAACTTCATGACTATCAACAACGAGTATAGACAATCTATCAACAACCTAATAACTCCACTATAAATTCATTACACCTAAAGTAATATAGAAGAATTGGGAAGAACACTATTAATACAAGAAAGAAGTAGTTACTCCACTGCTGAGAAATTAAAATTTAACATGGAAAAGAGCTATCTGAAAGACAAGAGACTTTCTTCCCCCAAAAGATTACTTTAAGGAAATCACAATGGTGGTGAAAAGGGAGTGAGTGAGGAAGAGTAGTACAGGTTGAGGGTAAGTCAGCTAAGATCCTCTCAAAAAGAAGAGCCTAGAATAATACATGTGGTGCAGATTGAATCTTTACAGCATATAAAGGCAAATAAACTTGACTTTCAAATGTAAATTCAACCAGTTATAGATTAATATTATAGATTAATAGATTAATATTATTTCTTAGAGAATTGCTAAGCAAAGAAACTCAACTCTTTATTAAACGTTACAGAAAAACTGTGAAAAAAATATCTGGACAGTTGTAAAAACCACACTTAGGATTAGTTTTCTTTATATCAGAGAATACTGATGGAAATTCCACTCTCCTGTGAAATTAGAATTTTACTTTGAAGTAGAAGGAAAAAATCTTACCTGTGATGTGCTATCGGCAGCTTTTTTATTAACAGAAGCATCTACTGTTTTGTTGGTTTGGTTTTCTGAGAAGTGAAAAAAGAAAAAGGACAATTTTTAAAAATATCTATGATATGCAAAAGTTTACATTGCTTTAAATACAATAATTCATGAAATTTTCTCCAACTATTTTTTGTAAACATGCCACATAGATTAATAGATTATTTGAGAGATCAGTGATACAGTATTTTTTCAGAAAGGGAAAAATTCATAATACAGATTTTTAAAAAAGACATCTACTCATTGACCACTGACCCATCAATTTAAACTTTATCCTAAGGAATACCTTGGAAAAAGATATACATGACTTAAATGTTCTAAAATGAGGAATATATTAAAATATAGTTCATACTATTGTCTTATGGAGGAAAAACTTTTATGACATGTCAAAAATACTAAAAATAAATTCAATAGAGTAAGTTTAAGTGATTATACCTACATATTTCTCAGTTCTATAACAGATTACTTTTCAGTTATTTGTTTTTCAACTTTATATGGAGTTTTGGTGGAAAAAAATGTTGTGTATGAAAACTACTTACAGAACAACAATAAAAAATAAACCAAGTAAGTTTTTGCCTTAATTTCTGAAGGGGGTAGAAGAAGATATTAAATTTTATCATATTTGCTCATAAAAAGAGGGTAAGAAGTAAAAACAAAGCCCTTACAATTTTTCCTACCCTATCTAAATTATTTAACTTATTTTTATAGAAAGAATATATTAATAGGTACTTATTGTTAAAAACAATTTAATATGAATGAGTATCTGTTTTAGACTGTGAAGTTTCTGAAAGACTATTTAACATAAAACTAATTTTAGGTTACTCAACCTACATGCCTGAATATTAAGATATGCTGGTAACATTATCAAAACATTAATTTGTTAATATACTATGTTAAAATATGTTCAGTTGGAATTGAAATGCACTTCCATTTTCAAAACAAAATAAAAGGTAACTTTATAAAAATTTTAAATGAGTGAATTTCATTTTCTGTTATAATTCATATAAAAATTCCTCAAGGTTCAGATTGCTTTAAAAAATGTTATATACAAACACTTTTTTAAAACAATAACTATGATTCATTACCCAGACTGATTCTCTCTTGGACTTCAACTGTTTTAGGGCAATAAGTTAATTATTCACAGAATTACAATAATATTCCTTATTCTACATTTTCAATTAATATTCCCCATCCCTTTATTACTGACTTTCCCCCTTGACCTTTAATGTATCACTTTACAGTTTCACTGTATCTTTTTTACTTTTTTCCCACTACAATATCTTTCTTAGATGACCTCTGAAAGTAAAAAGTTATAAATCAATTTATCAATCAACAAAACTGGTCAGGGTTTGAAATAAAATTGTAGCTTAAAATCCTTTCATATTTTTAGAGCTGGGGTTGTGGTTCAGTGGCAGAGCATTTGCCTAGCATGTGTGAGGCACTGAGTTTGATCCTCAGCACCACATTTAAAAAATAAATAAAACCCTTTCAATATTTATCTTATAAAATATTTCATGTAACCATCGGTCACTTTTAACCAACATTGCATTTTTACCACAGTCATAAAAGTACTTTACAAAGGTGTATACTGGCAGTATTCCCTGAGTAAGTCTATATAATTGTTGTATGAACACAAATAGAAGGCAAAATCTTCAAACATTTAACTTGGTCCTGGAAGAAACTAAAAAAATTAGAGTTGAAAAAGTGATTGTCTTTTATTTTATTTAAACTCTAGTTTTCTTATACTCGTAGAATAAGAAATGTTTAGTAAAATCTGAAAATTATAAATGAATTCTATATTACTAGATAATTCTCCAAATCAACTTTCTTTAATGTCTATAGCTTATTAAATGGCACTAATATGTAACAGTCTTAGAAACCAAAGTCATCTCTGAGTGTAACATTTCTTACCATAGAATCTTCTATCAATAATTTATAAGTTATGCCTGACAATTCTAACTTGAATAGCTTTTAAATCTTTTTGTTTTTTAATAACACACCTTTCACATCTAGTTCACTGCAAGAGCCTCCAAATTGATTTTCCTACTAATTCTATTATTATCCCCTCTCTAAACCATTCTCCACATGTCATACCATGCTATAAAAACCCTTGAACTTCATTTTCCCCATTAGTCTGTTCATTATCTCATAGCTTTCCAGATCTCCCATGTTCTCTCATGTCTTCTCAAAGAAAATGGAGTTAAAATACACTCATTACGTTTATAATTAAATACTTATTTAATGGCCAGGTTCCCTCTAGACTGTAAGTTTGGTGAGAAGAGGGATTATTTTGTACATTTCTGTGTATCTGCAGGGCCTTGGAACAATACAGACATCTAGCATTTCATGGATGAATGAAAATTAACTTTAATTTGAGCCCTAAGTTTCCAGATAGCTCCTAATGGACTTTACTATAAACAGAAAATACTGACTTTAAATCCATAAGGATATAATAAAGTATAATGAGATATATACAAATGTATACATAATAATATAGCATATGTTTTTATCAGGCAAGTAAATAATTTCTACATAAGTAAGGGACTTACAAAGTTTCAATTATAAAACTTAACTGATTTATCACAATAGGGATATAAAGCTTGGACTTGATTTTTATATTTAGCAAAAAATTGCTATTAGGCTTCAGTGTCAGTTTCAGGAAGCCCAAATGATTACTTTAATGTGATTTCTGGCACCTCTGAAATTAGGGAGGCATGATCAAAAAAAACATCGTATTACAGGTTTTTTTTTTGTTGTTGTTGTTGTTGTTGCTGGGGACCAAACCAAACACTTGTGAATGCTATGTGAACACTTTACTACTGAGATACACCCCCAGTCATCTTACAGGATCATTTTCTAATTAACATTATAAAAATAACATAAAGTTGGCATTCACGTTTATTTATTGTTAATATCTAGCAATTCATTTTATTTCTAGTTAAACAGAACTTGAAATAAAAATCTCCTTAATAGAGTTTACACATAAAGTGTATATAAGTAAATACATGTGCTAAAATATAAAAATTTATGTTTAAGTATAAATGTACATTAATCTCAAAAGTATGATGGACTGATTAATGACATAAAAACTATAAATTTCATATGCAAAAAATTAACACAAGTAAAATAAATCAAAAACAGACACATTACTCCTAATAGAGTATATCAGCTACATAATTTTGGCATATACCCTTTTTGTCTACCAAATGTTCATAAAATTTTGAGAACAGAATAATAAATATAATTCTGATACTATAGAAGTGTTTAGGTTCCAAACATAGCTTTAGCAAAGTATTTTTCTAATTTTTTTTTCTTACTCGCCATGATCTTCCAGGAAAAGTTCTATATTAACAAAAATATCTCATCTAGTGACCACGAATCAATAACATCAACTTTGCCTCAAAATTTCATAAAGAAGATAAATTCTAAAATTATATAAATAATGTTCATCATAAATTATACATTACATTAAAAATACTAAAAATACTAAAAATTTTTAGTATTTTTTTGAGGTCTCCTGACCTCAACTGAAAGTAAGCATCTTTTTTCATCTCACAAACATAGGTGTCTACTTGTTGATGTCTACTCATTCTTGCTTATCTTTCCAAAAGTAGTGGGGATAAATGTAAAGTCAGAAATGAAAAGCAAGTCTGAGAATGCATACAAAACGTATGCTTTCTAGAAACAAAGATACAGAGTTTTGCAAAAAGAAAAAAAATACAGGTACCATCAAGTTCTCCTTTTTTGCAATATTTCTAAGTAAAATACAAACGTAATTATGTGTCTTATGGAAAAAGAAAAACAAAAAGGAATCGAACATTATGTGGTATATGGAGAAGGAAGAACCTATTTTTAAATTGTTCGAATTTGGATACTGTGAGTGATAAAATGCACAAAGAATTTTCCCAAATGGGCAGGGATACATCTTTTATTGTTCTATCCCAAGCAGATATCAATAAGATACTTACTAACAAAAGTATTATAAAAGCACTTCACAGTGCTTGTTACAAAGCCTAAATTAAAAAATTACTAAAATACAAATTCTAACTTCTTATTCAAAATAACCCCATTCTCAGACTGGGGAGAAAAAGGAAAGGAAGTAAGGAAAGAAGTTCAATAAAGGGCACCAAAACACAGATAGGAGATATTATTTCTGATAGTTTTAACCAATAAATTAGGGTAGTATGCATTCTATCTCTTTAAACGTTAGTTGTTTTTACGTGTTGGGAATGTTGTACTCTTCTAGTCATTTTGAGATACTATAGACTATCTATGATGTATCTCAAAATGACTAGAAGAGTACAACATTCCCAACATATAAAAACAACTAACGTTTAAAGAGATAGAATGCATACTACCCTAATTCATCATACACTGTGTACATGTATCAAACTATCACACTGTATTTCATAAAAATGAACAAATATTGTACCTCAATAAAAATAACCCCCTCCCAACACCTACTTTTATAACATCATTTCTCTTGGAGGTATCTAGAAAATTACTAAAAACAATCTCAGCGAAATTCTATTTAATCTGCTCTTCTAACAATTTTATCTGGTTTTTTTTTTTTTTTTGGGTGTTTAAGTTTTGGTAAAAATGTTACCAATTAACAACAACAAAAAAAAAAAGTTTAGTCATCTAAAGGCCATTAACATTCTTACATTTCTTTTACTAAACAACAGAGTGACTTACCAATCCTTGGGGTGGTAGTGCTGTTCTGTTCTGCAGAAGATGACGTACTAAAAGCAGAAATTGGAATTTTCATCTGTATAGGACCACGATTATTTGATGGACTATAGAGTCCTGATGGGCCTACTGTAGGTAAAGAAGTCCTTGTGGCTTGTACGATAGAGTGTGCTGTGGGAACAGCCTGTACAGCAAGTGTTGTTCCTAATGGTGCAGCACTGGCAGGAGAGTTCCTTTGAATACTAGGACTGGGCACAGAAGGACCATTGTTTGGTTTAGTAGGATTTGGCAAGGATGGCAAGGATACTGGATTTTTGGTAAGACCACTCACTGTAGGTGGGCTTTGCACAGAAATGAATTCAACGTTGCCGGATGGTTGGTTGGTCACTAAAGTCCCTGGATGGCTCTGTAGAAGCTGAGGCTGTGAGGATACTGCAACAGGTACATGCAAAATCACTGGCAAAGGTTGTATAGAGATTGTAGGTTGAGGATTTCCATTAGGCACCTGAGTAGTAGCAACTACTGTAGCTGTATTGGGTGCAGGAAGAACTGATGCTGCTGTCAGAGAACCTGAGGTCACTGGAGTCTGCAGCTTAGGTTGACTACTGACAACTGCTGGAGGAGTGACAAGATTGGTTGAAGACACTACAGAAAGAAAACAGAAGTATTAGTTTAAATAGCCATCTTAATTTATCAGCTACAAATTCAATACATTGTATGGCATGGAGTAAAGTCTTTCATAGTAAAAAATTATCTAGATTTCAATTCTGGAAATTCTTAAAATTAACTTTTTGAAATATTTTATATATATAATTAGTACATTATAAAAAACAACATGTAATATTCATAGAGGACTCAGTATCAAAACATTATTTAAATGTAGTGTCAATACTCCAACATAGACATAGGCAACAGCTTTCTCATTAAGCCTCCTAAAGCTCAGTAAATAATGCCAAGTGGGATGGCATTGAATTTAAAAGTTTTGGAAAAAAAGGAAAAAAAAATGTGAAGAGAGAACCTACAAAATGGGAGAAAATCTGCTAGCTATTCATCTGACAGAGGATTAATATCCAAAATATATTAAGAACTCAAAAAACTTAACACACCAAAAAATCCCAAATAACCCAATTAATAAATGGAAAAATGAACTAAAAAGACATCTCTCAAAAGAAAAAATACAAATAGCCAACAAATATATTAAAAAATTTCGACATCATTAGAAACTAGGGAAGTGTGAATTAAAACTACACGGAGATTTTATCTCACTCCAGTCAAAATGTCAGCCATCAAGAATATAAACAATAATGAATGCTAGAGAGGATGTAGAGAAAAAAAAAAACATTTTTATAGTGTTGATAAGACTGTAAATTAGTACAACCTATGGAAATCAGTATGGAGGCTCCTCAAAAGACTAGGAATGCAATTACCATATGACCGAGCTATACCACTCCTTAGTATTTTATCCTGAAGAACTGAAGTCATCAAACTACAGTGATACATTTTTATAGCAGCAAAATTCATAATAGCCACAGTATGGAACCAACTTAGGTGTTCATCAATAGAAGAATCAATAAAGAAAATATTGTTAAGTATAGACGATGGAATTTACTCAGCCATAAAGAAAAACCAAATTATGTCACTTGCAGAAAAATGGATGGAACTTGAGAGCATTATGTTAAGCAAAATGAGCCAAACTCAGAAGGTCAAGGTTCACTTCAGGGTACCTAACTAGAAAAACAACTAAAGAACACTGAAAACGAAGTAAAAATATACAGATATTTTTGAAACTACACTAAAAATATTAAAAATGCCTTATAACAGAAGCAATATAAAAAAATAAATAGGAAATCTAGAAAGAACCATATTGTCCATATTTTATAATTTGAATCATGTAAAACCTGTATATATATTTTAAATTCCCTAGGAAAGAAACACATGAGAGGAGAATCCCTCTACTGGCACTCTACTGAGATTAACTGATACAGAAAATAGCACTGAGTGGAGAATGTAGTGAATTAAGAAACAGTAGAGAAAATCTGGTCATTAGAGATTATAGTAATTTTGGTACTTGTTTTCAATCTAATTGGAACAGGTTTGAAGTACACAACTAAATGTATTTCTCAGCAGTTTCTAGTTTTCCAAAATCACAGGTACACTAAAGCAATAATTCTCAAGAGTATGGTCCAGGGGGACATGAGGTTTCTGAGATTGTTTAAGGAATTTTGCAATGTCAAAACTCTTGTCATAATAAAAATGAAACATTGAGTTTTTCACTTTATGGACATTTGTACTGATAAAACAAAGATTGTTGTACTTATCAACAATACAAATTTTCACTTTATGGACATTTATACTGATAAAATAAAATATTGAATAGAAATGCTGTTGCATTTCTAGTTTTCCCTTATCTGTTAGAGAAATGTTCCAAGATTCCCAGTAACAAACCCTATATATACCATGTCTTCTCGCATACAATCATGTGTTACATAACAACAGGGATATATTCTGAGAAACATATCCTTAGGTGATTTCACTGCTGTGTAAGTGTACTTACAGAAACCTAGATGTTAGTTCAATTATTCAACATGGTTCTTAGATGCAAATCATGAGACATAGCAAACATGAATTATATGAGTCTACTACTAGCATAACACAGAATATTGTTTTATAGTAAACTACTTAAAAGAAGAAATGTACTCTAAAATAACAACAAAAGGTATAGCACAAAAAAATACAAAAACCAATAACAGTTATTTATTATCATTACCAAGTATTATATATTATATGCAATTCTATGTGCTATATACTTTTATACAACTTATAGTATTATTGATTTGTTTACACTAGCATCACCATAAACTCAGGAATAATAAGTAATGTTGAAATGGTAATAAAAATTATTGAACTCCATTATAATCTTATGGAACAACTATCTTATGCAGTCCAGCATTGATAAAATGTTTTTATATCATTCATAACTAAATAAGTATTCCTATGATGCAGTTTCATTTATAAATTAGGTATAGTAAGAGATTCACAACAGTCAAATAAAAAAACAGACACTACAGTAAAAATTAGAAATTATTCTTGGAATTCAATATTTATAGATCATAGATACCAGAAAACCGTGGTAAATAAAACCACGGATCAGGAAAACCACTACATAAAAATCAAAGTAATACAGTGTTACCAAAATGCCACTATATTTTTCATTATTAAATGTTTACAGTAAAAAAAGAAGAGGAAAAAAAGTCAGTTTTACTTAGGTATATCCATAATAGTGAAAATTATTTTATTATATTCAATCCTTGAACTAGAGTTCTTAATATTTTGTGTGAAAAAAAAATAGTACACATAAAATAATACTGCTGCAGGCCAAAATGGAATGCATGACTCAAGATAAAATACTTGGGTAATTGAGAAGTAGGCTAAATTAGCAGTCCTTTTCATGGAAAACCATTTTTACTTGAAAGAATAACTCAGAAAATAGTAAGTTAGAAGAGTTCATTAACATGTTTCTGATTCCAGTATGCACCAACCTTAAAGAAACTACTACTTGACAGTGTCAAAAAAAGAAGTTATCTAAAAGAGCCAACCTATCTGCATGCATGAATATATAACAAAGTATACCATAATTATGCATAATTATTCTGCACCAAAAAATAATTTTTTTAAAGGGCCAGCCTTTTCCATCTTCATATTTGTATGAGCTGAATATCCTCCATATACATCAGCCAAATCAACATACTGAAACAGATTATAAGCAGATGTAGACATAAGAATCCAAATATCTTCAGCTGGCTTAATATGTTAAGTAAAACATTAAAATGAAAGGCAATAATACTCTTTTGACTGTTAAAATTTATTTTCACTAAAAAAAATCCTCAATGAATAAATAGTTTTAAGAAGGTTTTAATTTCAATTGAGATTATCAAGTGAACAAAAGTTCTTTGGAGTTCTTAGTAATTTCTTAAGCTTACAAAGGGATGTAAAGACCAGAAAGTTTGGAATGTACTTCGTTAGAAATATATATATCTATATTTTTATGTATATTTATTTATTATCTTTAATTTTCAGTAATATTTTGTACTTTAGACCAATGTCACCAGTTTTCTAGTTCATTTCAACCTCAAAAGAATGTAAGAATAAGCCAAACTCAGAATGTCAAGGGTCATATGTTTTTTCTCAAATATGGAAGCTAAATAGGAAAAAGGGAAATAAAGGTAGGGGATGGGGATCTCTTGAAAATCAAGATGAGATGAACAGAAGAAAGGGACCAGGATCCAAAATATGGAACCAGCCTAGGTACCCAACAATGGATGAATGGGTAAGAAAAAATATATATGTATATATATACACAATGAAGTTGAATACAGCCATAAAGAAAAATGAAATTATGTTATTTGCAAGAAAATGGATGGAACTAGAGGCCATTATGTTAAGCAAAATGTTCTCTCTCATGTGTGAAAGCTAGAGAGGAAAAAGGAAAAGAGAGGTGGGAGGCAAGATAATTTCATGAAAATCAAAAGGAGATCAGCAGAAGAAAGGGATCAGAGTGTAGGGGGTAGGAAGGGAGGAGGAAGCGCTAGGAGTGATAATGGCCAAATTATATTGTTATATTGTGTGAGTGTATGAAAATGTAACAATAAATCTCATCAGTAGGCACAACTATAATACACAAATAAAAAATGTGGAAAGAGAAAAACAAAGTTTATAAATGAGAAAAAAAAATCTAAGAAAAGAGAACCAAAGACTTTAATTTGTAAGAAAATGTTTTTGGTGTTAAAATGTTACCTGTATTTACAGGAGTTTGAAAGGTTGATGGTGTACTCTCGCTTACATTTCTTTTGGACTCCAGCATCTGTCTCACCGTGCCTGCATTTCTATGAAATTTATAAAAACATACAAATAGTCAATGGATATACCAATCTAGGGGAAACCATTTGATGCATAGAAAAAAAGCATTGGCCAGTTAGGGAAAAACGTATGCCTAGATTTGGGTTTGGCAACCTAAACCACAAGCAAACGCAACCAGGTACAGTTGGCATGTGTACTTCTAAATACTGGGGTCTGTGTATTAGAGAAGAATCTTTCTCTTATATTCTAATATCATCAATACTTAACCTGAAGACTAAATGTAAGTTCTAATAAACACACACACACACACACACACACACACACACATATATATATATGTAGAGAGACAGAGAGACAGACACATTACTCTATCTCACCCCTGATCAAAGCTTTTCTCAATTACTTAAGAATACTACTAATGGCATGTGGTTAAAGAAATATATAGTGACATGTGTACATGTACAAATGTACAACTATAATAAACCAATAAAAATGTGCAAGGAAAAAAAGTGTGCAGTGATAAAAGAAAGTCTTCTAGCAAAAGTTATATCTCCAGATGAACAATGTAACAAAGCAGGAAAAAGAAAATATTATTATTCAACATTTATCTCTACATAAATACATATGCTTACATTCAAATATTTTTCTACCAAATAAAGAAAATCAGAACCTTGTTCTGTTATTTAAAAACTAGATAAATAGACTATAGTTCTCACCTGTAGGGTATGTTATTATTGCTATTGACATCACTTGCAGACTTTCCTGGTGATACAGGTGGGTTTGGTGGATTCTGAGAGGAAAATACCAAAGCAAAAATAAGACTAGATATAAAGAAAATGTCTTTAAAAATAAGATTTTTTAAATGCTTTCTCAACATATGACCTGTTTCCTGTATAATGTGGGAAACATTACTAGTTGAGACAAGAATTTGGATTTTGGTGTTGCCACTGGTTTCCTATTTCTTAATCAAATCTTTTTCTTCATTAAAGACAACTGCTTATCATTTGAAAGACTAATATAATAATTCCTATACCTTGGTGTTCTTGTGACAATTATATAAAACATAAAAATGTGAAAATGGTCCATACAGGCATCACACATCAGAACCAGAAATTCAATAAAATGGTGTCCAAGTTCTCAAAAATCAAAAATTTCCAAATCAAATTTATTTTTAAAATTTCATTTTAAGTACTATTGCCAGAAAAAAATTTCAATAATTTCATAAAAAGTTGACAATCCTAAACTGCAGCAAAAACTTATTTTAGACTCTTCCTCCGCAAACCAAGGAATATACAAATGGAATTTGAATACTTACATATTGATTACAATTATTTAGGCCTCCATCATTAATGATACTATATCATCATTTACTTCTTAAAATGAGAATAATAAATAACTTCTCTCAAACTAAATGGAGTATAAAAATAACATATTAAACTAAAGGTAACTAAGTTCTGAGAATACATAGAGACTATGCCATTAAGCACTCTTCACAACAACAAATACATTTTACTATTTTGTGTATGTTAAAGAGTAATTTTAACCTACAAATATAGTATTGCATTAGGTTTGTGTAGAAGGCAAAAGAATTAATGCAATCTTCTATAAAGGTACTTAAATTTGGCTGTTAAGATAAATACACATGAAACAAATAGAAAAGCAAATTAAAAAAAAAGATTAATACCAAAGGAATTTTTTTTTTTTTTATTAAAGGTCTGGGAGAAAAGAATGCATCTTCAAACAGGTCTTTGAATAATTACTATATTCCCAAAAGGTTAAGATAAAAGAAAAAAATGTTAAGAGAAAAACAGGAAAAAGAAGAGCAAAAGCAGAGAATAAACAATTGGTTTAGAATATGGAAAGGGGTCATATTGTGGAGTTGTGGGATTAGCAAGATGATAGAATAAAAATCCCCAGGCCCTCCTTCCTTAATGGAGACAATGACTTAACAATGTGAAGATCAGAATGCCTTTGTGAGCATTCTAGAAATGAGTAGACACATTAAAGCACCCTAGGCAAATACAAGGCCAAAAGGAGGTAAACTGAAAAGAGTAACAAAGCATACTGCACTTACCTACTATATCCCATCAACCTCCCACACAGCACAGCACAGCACAGCACAGCACAATCAAGGCTTCTCCATCAACAAGGAAGGAGAAGGGTGGAACTTACATCCAACTAATTGACAGGATGCTTAAGGCACATGTTTTATTTAGCCCATGCAGAGACCTGACTTGGAATGCAGAGTGTGGCTGTGGTACAATTGCTGCCCTGGTACCTCAAAGACTATTGGCAAGAACCTCAGCTTGCCTATGGCCTGAAAGAGGTTACATTAATGCCGACAGACAGTAAATGCTTTAAATGCAAATGGATAAAACACCTTAAATCAAAAGACATCAGGATGGCTTAAAGTATAAAATACAGATTTAATCCAACCATATGCTGTCTACAGAAGACTCACTTTAAACCTAAAGACATATACAAGGATGAAAGTGAAAACAGAGGAAACAATTATTTTGTGCAACTGGTAATGAAAATAGGGTGGCTGAACTTAACACTTTAAGTCAGCACTGTCAAAACAGGTAACGAAAGTCATTATATAATGATAAAAGGGTCAATTCATCAGGTAAAACAATCATTTAAGTATATATGCTCCTAACATCAGAGCCCTCAAATAACATCAAACACTGAAAGAACTGAAAGTAGATGGCCACACAGTAATAGTGGAAATTTTAATAATGTATATAACATCTAAACAAAAAACTAATAAGGTAATAGGACTTAATATACTAGTAAACAACTGGACCTAATGAACACATACAGAACACTATATCTTACAACAACAGAAAACACATTCTTCTTAAATGCACACGGAACATTCTTAAGAACATGTTAAAAGTCACAAAACAAGTCTAAACAAACTTAAGAAGAATGAAATCATGCTAAAAATCTATTCTGGTCACAATGGAATAAAACCTGTCATCAACAGCAGAAGGCCAATAGGAAAGTCACAAATACATGGAAATTAAACACATTCTTTGAAAACCCAATAGGTAAAAGAAGAAATCATGATAAAGTAAAAATATCGAGACAAGTGAAAACATAACAGAACAAAGTTTATGAAGTGAAAGCAGGGAAGGGAACAGCAGTAAATACAAGAAGTATCTCAGATTAAAAAAAAAAAGAAAAAAAACCAACCTAACACTTCAAAGAATTGGAAGAACAATAATTAGAAGCAGGAAATAAAGAATGAAGATTAAGTAGAATTAAATGAAATGTGCGGAAGTATATGAAATAGAGAATAGAAAAAGTCAATCAAAATAAGAGTTGGTTTTTTTAAAATAAAGATCAAAAGAACTAGCCAGGCACGGTGGCATTCACCTGTAATTCCAGTGGCTTGGGAGGCTGAGGCAGGAGGACAGAGAGTTCAAAGCCAGCCTCAGCAAAAAATGAGGCATGAAGCAACTCAATGAGACCCTGTCTCTAAATAAAAATATAAAAAATAGGACTGGGGATGTGGCTCAGTGGTCAGGTGACAGATGACTACAAGGGGAAGATAAGAAGAGTTACTAGAGGAAGTGGAATACTAAAATACTTCAGGGAAAATGATAAAAAACTAAAACAAGAATGTTTAAAAAAGGCAAAGTAATTTTAACAATAGAAAATACAGCTTTAGGAATGCTATATCATCGGACAAATTAACATAAAATTTGACATATCACAATATTGAAAGAGTTTATTAGTATTAGAGCTTCAGCTTCAGAAATAACATAATGTATAGCTTAAAAACAAATTTAATACTGGTAGAAAAGAAAAAGTTTCATCCCAACTCAGCATTTCCTGAGATTACCACTTGGAGCTAAGCAGTATTTACGCAAGAATGAAACCCTTACTTCTTGTCTTTTCTTAAGATCTTCTTTGGCTGCTCCAAAGCGTTTGGTTAACCTGGCTATCTTGGCCTGAAAGAAAACAAAAATAAAAAGAAATCAAGTGGCAATATGCCATAAAAAAGAACCCATGCATATACAACAATAACAACAAAAAAACAAAACCCACAGATAACAGGAACCTCAGTAAGACAGTTAAGAGCAAAGTAAAGCAAGCTGATTGTAAAATACATACTTGAAAAATTCAGATAATTATATGAAAACTAGTGAACCCTGAACCAGATGCAAATACTCTTCATTAGAAGATTAATTGGTTTACACTCAGAACTAGGGGTGTTTGCTCACACACCAGTATGTTTCCAAACAGAAAACGTTGCGCTTTGTGTTATTTTTCAACACAGTTGCAACCATATGCAATTTACTTACTGAGAATGACATTCTGGGCATATATGTGAGTCATAAAAGATCCCTTGCCAAAACTACTTGGATATATGTACAGTGTACTGAACCACATGCTCTTTTCCACTGGGTAGGTTGAAGGTTTCTCAATGTTCTGTCATTATCAAATACACTAATAATTTCATTCTCACTTCAGACTATTTCTTTAGAACATACAAAAGTGGAATTGGGGGGGCTAGAATGTATTCTTAAGAATTTTGTCTAAATGTTTTTTAGAAAGGCTTTATTAATTGATACTTTCAATAGCAGTTTAGATGAGGGCTCATATTTGCTCTTGGAAACAATTTACATTCTATTAATGTTTAAAAATCTGATGATGTTACCTTGTTAGTATTAACATTAATTATTGTTTGTTCTGCTTATAAAATTGCCTTATTACATATTTTTCCCAAATATATATCCAAAAGAAATATGGGGGGGGGGGGGGCAGGGCATGAAAGAAAAAAAGAAAGAAAGGGAGGAAGGAAGAGAATATGAGAGGAAGGAAGGAAGATGGGTGGGTAGGTTGGTTGATCAGTTATATCACCACATGAATATTTGGGAGTAATTCCTTTCAGCCTTTCACTAAGACATAGATGTGGTATTCATTTGTATCTGTTTTTGCTGTTGCTGCTAATGCTGGCATTTTATACTCAAGACACTTTTAAGAATATTAAAATTAACTTCTAGGATCATGAGGGCTGTATAAGAATTTTTTTATCCAATATAAAGGCATTCATATCATTAAACAGTGCTATTTACTTTGAAGGTTTCTTTCAAAAAGTGGTCACTTATAAAGGAAATCTCAAATCTTATGGTCTACAAATAAGGTCTAGACAATTAATTATCCCTGACTCTCAAAGGTGCCTCTCTTCAGGACTTATTTATGAATATTATTAAAGCTAGGAACACGCTGTCTGATTTCATATCCTTAATGTGGATTTGCCTTTCTAAATATTTCTTAAAATATTTCAAGTAATTTTTTTCTAAGCATATATGTTGGAAAGTATTTACCCCAAATTATGCAAAATAGCTTTCATTTTTTTTTTCTTTAGTCAGGTTATCTGAGTGGACATTCCATAAACTATAGTATGTAAACTATTATTCTATTTTTACTAAAACATGAAAGCAAATCATTTATATATGTCATATAGATGGAAAAAGTATAGAAACACATGCCAAAGTTAAAAGTGGTTACCTCTATAAGCCACAAATGGAAGAAAGTGGGGGAGAAGGTAAAGAGAAAGTAAAGAGAAAGACTTTGCTTTCATATATGTAATATGTACTCAAATTCTTAAATGTATCTGTATCTGTAGTATTCAAATTATTTAAAAAATTATTAGAAAATTATATTGGTAGCAGAGTGAAAAAAATAAAAATATAGACACTGATTTACTGTCTTCTGACAATATAAAAAGGAAATTAAAGAGCAGACGTTTGTTATTATATAGAAAACTGAACAATTCCTTTTTATTATTATTACAATTCTAAATATCTGACAATGTGTCTAAGACTAGGGTATCTATTTTGGCAAGTACTCTGTGAAACTTTCAAAATGTATAAAAATTCATATTTGTAAATTTAGCAAAGTAATATTCTATCATTATGTACTTTATGGTTTTTGGGGGGGATACTCAATATGTAGCCCAGGCTGTTATCAATCTCCTGGGTGGGCTCTAGTGATCCTCCTGCTTAAGCTCCTAAGTAGCTGGGACTATAAGTATGTACCACTGCACCCAGCATATTATAGTCTTTGGTTATTAATTTTATTTCATTTTTTCTTGAATTCTTTCTTAGGTATACATATACTTTTTTTGTGTAATGAAACAATGGTAGTTGTTTAAATATAGGGCACACCAACTGCTGGGAGTCACATAAATGGTAATTTCCTTGCATATTTTACCAAGCAACCTTTTAGAAAACAACTGTCTAAAAAGAGTTAATTGTGCATTTAGTTTGGCCTAATAATAAAACACAGTACTTTTTAAAAAGCTAGTGAACAAACAGACGTGTTATCTATTATTCAAAATTGTCCCCTGCATTAATTAGGCCACCTAGGTTCACTTCGTTGATCAGAGAAGGGATCAAAAGGAATAGTAAAGTAGCTATTTTCAGTTAAAACTACTTAGAATGATATTTTTCTAAGCCATAACCAATGAAATATTAACAGCTTTTCCATTTCCCTAAGAAATCAGGTTGAAATTTTGAATTTGTATGCTGATTTGCGAAGAACCAAGCACTGCTAGCTATCTATGAACTTGGTGTATCACAACTCACTCATGTTTTCTTTTACTGTTTTCTTCAACAGAATCTTGAATATTTTTTTAGGTTTATTTTTAAGTACTTTCATGAAATAACTACTATATGTGAAACCTTTTCTTCATATTTTTTAATCAGTTATTACTAATGTATAGGAAAACTATGTTGTCCTTATATCAAGTAGTTTCTAAATTTCCTTCTTCATCCAGTAGTTTACCAAGTTAATTCCACCAGGTTCCTATTTTAACCAAGTTACTTATTTCTTTTTCCTGTCTCATTGCATTGCCCAAAGACTTCCAATAAAGCTCTAAACAGTAACATATGTTACCAATCCTTTTCTCATTCTCAATGTAAGTGAAAATGTTTCCAATGATCCACTATTAATATGTGATAATAACTTTTTGAAAGAGGGTGGGGGAAAAGGTTAAGAGCTCTTGGATATAAGAGGAAATATAAAAAACCATACATATGCCCAAAGTAGGATGCAGAGTTCAGAGGAGGTCTGAAAGGATTCTAAGCTTTCACCTTTGTCTGGCCTTTAGATTGAAAATAAATTGATAGTAAAATTTCAGGCATGTTCAAAAAAGCAAGTTATTAATGGTTCCACTAAGCACTGAAGGGTAACTGTCAAAATACCACCTGACCCCTAAGATAATGAAATACAGACTTCAGTGGCCATATACAACTAATACATATTTTCTAAGCAGTTGGAAAGTTAGTTTCAACAAGTTAATAAACAAACAGTAACCCACAATAATAAATAAAACAAAACCTAGGAAGGAGGAAAAAAATTTGATTTCCAGAGTTGCTAATATTGTGTGTGTGTGTGTGTGTGTGTGTGTGTGTACATATATATCTCCATATAATGGGAAATCATTTAGTCATAAAAAGGGATAAAACACTGATGTATACTGCAACATTATATTAGGAAAATATTATCCTAAGTGAAAGAAGACAGATAGAAAGGTCACATACTATATGATTCTCTCATATAAAATATACAAAATAGATATATCAATAGAGATAGAAAACAGATTAGTGCTTAGGGGCAGAAAGCAAATTAGGGGCAGGGGAAATGAGAAGTACCTATTTAATGAGCACAAAGTTTTGTTGTAAGCTGACAAAATGATTTGGACCTAGAGATGGATACGATGATGTGAATATACTATATCCCAATGATTGTACACTTTGAAATAGGGGTTTTATCATATGAACTTTAATTCTATAAAAAAGCTTAATATTATGAAAACACAGAAAGAGATGACAACTAAAGTTAACATTTAATAAAATAGCATGGTGAGGGCAGATCATTAAGGGTGATTGAATAAGGGAAATCATGAAGTGGAGTTTGCTTTTTGGTACTGGGGATTGAACCCATGGGTGCTTTACCACTGAGCTATATCCCAGCCCATTTTATTTTATTTTATTTTAAATTTTAAGACAGGGTCTCACTAAGTTGCACAGGGCCTCACTAAGTTGCTGAAGCTAGTCTGGAACTTGCGATCCTCCTACCTCAGCCTCCAGAGTTGCTGGGATTCAGCAGTTTGCCATCATACCCAGCAAAAACTATGAAGTTGAAAACTTGAAATAAAAATTCTATGGACATTAACATTCTCAGGACAGTAAAGCAATGGGTGAGTATTAAGAAAATTGGATCAAAAACTATGAGATTGAGATTAAAAATCAAATGAATACTACATTGAGTGGTACACAATTGAGGAAAATGATGACACCAAAAAGTGAAGAAAGCAGTATTTTAGAAAGACTAGCATAATGTTTTGGAAGTACCAGCCAAAACTCAAAAACTAGTAATCTATCAAGGAATTTACTACTTATGGCCTAATAGAAAATGACAGTTTACTAAAGGAAAAACCAAATAAAACCTCTATTTTCACTTGCTTTTAGTTAACTTTAAAAATTGTGAATTTTGGTGGTCACACAGCAATACATTATTTGTCTCCTGCTGGCTTGGGTGTAGGTGACACCTCTGAAGTTATCCAGTAAGTTCAAAATATTGCTTTTTGCTATCTCCCCTATTCTCCAGCAAAAGATGCTTTTTGTATCTTAATGATCAACTACAAGGTTAGCCATTCCTGGGAAAGGTACTAAAAAGACATGAATCCTAAAACTTAACTAATCAGTAAATTTACTCTAGATTTACAGAACCAAGAACATCTAATGGTCTTCAGATAACATCAAAATATGGGCCAATGAACTGTTAATCTTGTTTAATTAAAAGTGGAATAATATGGGCTGGGGCTGTATGTAACTCAGCGGCAGAGCACTTGTGAGGCACTGGGATCGATCCTCAGCACCACATAAAAATAAACAAAATAAAGACATGCTGTCCACCTACAACTATAAAACAATTTTTTGTTTAAGTAGAATAATGTTTAGCTTGGAGGAAAAATAATATTTGTTCCCCTGTCCCAAATTATAGTGACTAGCCTAGGAGATAAAGGTGGATTACTATCCCAAGGATGTTCTGGCAGAAAAACAATGAAAAAAACACGCTGAATGACAGAGATATTGATTGAGCCTGGATGTAGGACTCAGTGCATATAAGTCTTCTGTCCATTATCCTTTGCTCCTTCTTTCCCTTCCTATGAAAGTGCTTTGTGTCCCTAAGTTCTTGATAGACTATGATAACAATAGCCCTTCTACCTTATTCCCTTGTATTATTCCCTTATTCCCTTGAATAAAACTGATTTCTTTCCTACTAACTCTCATCTCCCCGAGTGTTGGTTTTTGAATGTTGAGTAGCCACACCTAAATATAGTAACAGAGACACAGATCTTTTAGGAAATAAAAACTGGAAATTTGGCAATTCAATGTATACGTAAAATGACAAAGAGGAGTTGGCTTCCAAGAACTGAAGGACTGCCAATAAGAACCATAATGGGAAGATGTTCCTTCAAACTTTTCCTAAGAATTAAAAATCTGTCACCAAGAAGAACAATGAGAAAGGGAATGCATTTGTGGAGAAAATGGTTTGGTGTTGGAAATATTCAATGAGTCTGAGGCTACAAAGAAACACTGAACTGCAAAAAAACATTAAGAGATTTGGACTTGCACCTTAAATGAACAAGAAAGAAATTAAAAACTAAGGTTTTAAAAACACAAAATAACTGCAACCAGGGGACTTCTGAGAAACAAAGAATTATTTTAAATCTTCACATATTTTCAGTTTTAATTCAAAATTCTCAACAAGCAAAATGGAGTTTAATAGTTAGACCATACTATTTCTATAGAAAAAACTGATAAAGGTAAAAAACCGGGACTATTGCTCTAAATGATCCATTAAAAAATTATCACAAAGACTTCATTACCAGTTAATAATAAAGATTATTACTACTAAAGTCTTACACAAAACAAACAAAAAATCCAGTATGAAACCAAGGAAATAACTTTTAGCCTAGAAGCTATAACACATCTAAATTTTACTCATATTTAGCTGCAACCATGAGACTTCTGATTGATTTTTAACTGAAAAAGAGATTTAACTTTCAGGGATCACTTCTCCCTCATTTGTAAGATAAGGCCCTGTGGTTTACAAATCAAAATTCTTTAGACTATGCTCACACTTACAATAGGATAATAGAAACCATATTTTTACTTATGACAGAATGAATATACTGATTAAAATTTCTAATTTCTTAGCTTTGGAATGATACAAACTACTATAGCATTTCATGTATTCATTTCACTTACCAGAAGCCAAAAGTAGTAATTATTAATTATTAATGGATATAGATTAGTAAACTAATACATTAAAACATAAGATCCACACAGAACATAGAAAGAATACTCTACAAATAATTAGTGTATATTATGGCATGCTAGATGCTAGCCTTTCCTCAATGACAAAAAAATTAAAAGTTAAAAAAAACAAGTTAGATAATTTTTGAGTCTCTGAGTTAAACTATGGTTTAACTAAAGGAACTCCCCCTACATTAAAGTCTGAACCTCTAGAAACTCAGGGTCACTGCAGAGAAAATTAGTTAAGATAAAGTCTAACTGAAGTGGGGAGGACCCCTATTTAATACAACTGGTGTCTTTAAAAAGAGGGAAATTTGGACAAACATACAGAGATGTATGTTTACCATGAAAAGATAAAGCCAGAGACTGAGGTAATGCCACTACAAGACAAGCAACATTAAAGACTGTTAGCAAGCCAACAAAAACCAGAGGAAAGGACTTCTATCCTCCAGAATAGAATGTTACACATTACATGTGAGGTTATACATTACCGTTGATAAAGTCACCCAATTTATGGTACTGTTTTCACAGAAGCCCTAGCAAAGTAATACAGACTTTTATTTCTTATATTTAGAATTTAAAAGAACAAATGTAAGTTGAATAAAATAGTCAACTTCAAATATATATTTCAGAAGACAAATTATAAAAATGATGATATAATTAAAGTCAGCATACAAACCTGGAGTTCAGTAAGAACTGTTTTATGCCTTTTGTTACATTCAATCTTTTCTACTCGTGTCTTGAGTTCTGCCAAAGTCTTATCAAATACAGCACACTGTAATGCACACAATTTTTCTTCCAGCAACCATTGTATCACCTAAAGAAATACATATTCCTTTGTTACACAAAGGCAATTCAACAAGCCCAGAACAATGAAAGTACTAATAATAATGTATTAGCTAATTAGAATAAAACATGCTTAACTAATTTAATGAATAAAATCCGTAAATCAATGCTATCTAATGAAATTCTCTACTTCCATATATATAAAGTATCTACCTAATGGGGGGGCATATACTAAAAATAGAAAATTTCTAGAGGGTGAAATCTTGAAAATGAAAGTTGAGCATTTTCTTCTCATATCCCATTATCATGCTCAAACCACTTACTGAAAACTAGTTAAAGATCAGTTTAAAAACTGTATAGTCTAGGGCTGGGGATGTAGCTCAGTGGTAAAGCACTTAACAGGCATGCACAAAGCCTGAGTTCAATTCTTATTATCTCTTTGGAAAAAAAAAAAAAAAAGAAAAGAAAAAAATCCTAGTTGTTACAGATTGATATTTCTGTGATATATACTAGGAATAATAATTCAACATCATATTCTATAAAACTCTGCTAAATGTGTTCAAAATTCCCACATTAAATCATTATGGACCCACAACCAAAAGGACACTGCGATACCTGAGTTGGCACTATTCTAAAGGAGTAAACTCCCAGTGAACATGTAAGTTTTTAAACTTCCTTCATGCATCTATCTTTTTTTTAATATTTTATTTGTTCCTTTTATTATTATTATTATTTATTCTAATTTGTTATACACAATGGCACAATGTAATTCATTTTATATTACACATATGCAGCACAATTTTTCAACTCACGGATTGTACAATAAGTATTTTCATACCATTAGTGTGTTCGTACATGTACACAGGGTAATGATGTCTAACTTATTCCACCATCATTCCTATTCTGTTGCCCTGGTCCTTCCCCTCCCTTCCCTTTGCCCTATTTAAAATTCCTCCATTCCTCCCATGCTACCCCTCCCATGCTACCCCTCCCATCACCATTATGAGTCAGCATTTCACTTAGCATTATATTCTCTGACTCCATCCATTTACCTATAAATGCTATGATTTTATTCTTTTAATGTTGAGTAATGTTCTATTGTGTATATATACCAAAATTTCCCTATCCATTCATCTACTGAAGGGCATCTGGGTTGGTTCCACAATGTATCATGCATTTACCTTTAGTATTATTATTATTATATAGGCCAAAGAAAAAGAAACTGGAGACAAAGATACCACTATCACTTTCTTTCATTGCCTCTTTCTGGAAAGTATAGTTATTTGTACTGTATCTTAGAGGAATAACTGTGATTTATAATTTCACTATCTAGATAGATAGATAGATATGAATGAATATGAGAGAGAGAGATCTGGAAAAAATAGTATCATCTGAATTTCATACACCTCTCTACAAAATGCACTTGTTATAAAGGTTTATGAACATATTTTGAAAAATACAGAAAGTACTCAATATTTTCATTATTTCTATCTCTGTCATAACAGATCTAGGGGGAGGTTTCCAAAATCTTTATATATTCCCTTTCCACAGTCCTTCTATAGGTCTCTCCCAATCATTCTTAATATTAATCTTAACATACATGACAAAGATTTTAGTAAGTATAGACCTATAACCACCAAACAAGCATATTATAAAGATTAAAATATTAATACAAAAAACTCTTGTTTCCTTTTCAGTACAAAATTAATTTCAATATGGAAAAAAAGAAAATCTCGAACATTATTCAGTTTTGTTACAAAACAAATAAAGAAATTCATCATATCTACCTTTCATTTTGATAATCACTACCATCTCTTAAAAAAATCATGTGGTCAGTCAGAAGGAATTTTAAAATTATCAAGCAAAATCATAAACTCCATAACCACTTTCTTCAAGTTCTCTGTTTCTATGATAAACTGGATGTATAACTAAAACACACAATGCTATAATGTAAAAAATCTAGAATAAAGACAGTGGTACTTTTTATTCAATATGGTTTATTATTTACAATACCTTTTGAAGCTTCTGGTTAATGTCTCCTTTGGCTGTAATCTTTACTTGAAATTCTGCTTCATATTCTTCTTCAATATATCGACGACGTTTGGACTGTACATTGTCCATGTCCTCTGATTTAGAACGTTTTCTTCTAGAACATTCATCTGAGAACAAAAACACAATGATGAGTCAACTGTTTTTATTACAGAACTAAAGCCTTTTCCATTTGCAGCAAAATACTGTTTTTATCACAATAGCATTCTCAACCAATTATTTTATGAATTGTTTTGAGATCAGAAAAGCAGGTATGTAGCTTCTAGCTTTAAACTTGAAATAAGTTTCACTATGCTAAATAAGAACTTTCTAATGGATAAACTAAACATGGATACTGTAAACACAAAACACTCTTTCCTTGAAATTTTCATATTAATATGGAAAACTACCTAACAACTGTGTCATGAAGAAGGTAGAAGTCATTTTACATTTATTCCCTTTGCTATATTTCATAGTGAAATGAATTCTCTGGAAAAATACAGTATTCATTCTCATGCCAAATTCTATCAACTTCACACAGCTCGAATTATGTAATTCATCCTCTTCAGTAAACATAAGAAAAATTCTTAATCATTGGCCTTAGGAAAATAATATTGTAATAGTTATTTTTAATATATCCTAATGAATTTCAAATATATAAAAATTAATGTCATTATAAAGGTACATTTGTAAAGAACAGATATTAAAGATCTTCACATAGAAAATTCCTACTTCAAATACTGTTAACATTCATGATTTCATAAGCAAATTTTGTTGAGTTTATTTTTCAATATCTAAAAAAATGAAAACACTAAAATTCCACCCTTTAAGGCAAATACTCTTATATGATTATCCAAAGCCTCTCCTCCTTACTCTATACCCATAATGAGTGTGTCTATTTTTAAAATACATTTCTGTTCTATGACTTTATATATTATATAGAAATAACTTGCCCAGAGTCATACATGGAGAGCAACATGGCAGGAAGAATTATAGAACCCAGGTTTCCTGGTATCTAGTTCAGTAATCTTTCTAGAAACCTCATCCCATCACTTCCCTTCCCATGAAGCTTAAGAAAATGAAGACTTAAAAGTATACTAATATCATCGAATTATTTAATTATTTAGATTGTCTCAACTTAATCTAAAACAATTTCCCTCAAGACACACAGATACTACCTTAAGTTGTAAGCCTATATCTTTTCTTTTGAAACAATGAATGATACTAACTCAAGTTGTACGCTTAAATCTTTTTTGTGGAACTATTAAAAATGTAAATACTACATTCAAGTATGAAATAATACATTCAAAGATTCTTGAGTTAGTCATCACCAAAATAGATTCACTATGTCTTACTTAAATTACAAAAATTTACAATCATGTCATGGGCAAAAAAATAATATTACACGTTTCTTAAAATCAGAAACAATGAATTATTATTTTTCAAAGTAGTTCAAGTTTATTTGTACATTCATACTTTTCTCAGAAGGTCTTTCATCTTCTTCATCTATCACTTGCTCTTCTTCCTCAGGTTTGCTGTCCTTTTCATTACTTTCTATTTCTGCTGGAACAAAAGTAGAAAAGAAAATTTTGTTTCTATTGGAATTCATAACAGCCCATTTATATTTTTTATTAAGTATTCAGTAAAATTTTGGGAATAAAATTATAACACATACTGATAGAAATAAATGACCAAGTCCACATTCAATTGTTCTACAATACAAAATAAACTCTACCTGAAAAAAAAAGTACAGATTTTAAAACAAGTAAACTTACTCAGTATTTCCCATCACCAATAACATTAATAAAATCTGAAAACTACTGTAAAACATTTAGATTCCTTTGCTACTATTAAAACTAAATAATTTGCGATTTCCCTAAAAATCACAAAAAATATTAGAAACTACTGATAGGTAAAGTCAAAACAACTAATATTTTTACAAGAAAGGTAGAATCATTAAGTTATTTTAATGGTTACAGGATAGTTCATAAACAATGAAATGGAAAGGCTATCCTTATTATAATTTTTTAAAAAACTTTACTGAGAAATGGTACTATTATATTTGATAGCAATGTCAGCAACCAAGCTTGGTGCTTGACATGTATTAGTCATAGCTTCAATATAATCCTATACTATAAGCAGTATTTTTGCCATCATACAGGTGAGGAAAGTAATGTTTAGGAAGGTTAAGTAATTTTCAAAAGAGGCATATAAAATGTAACAAATAGTGCTATCAAAAAATATTGCTAACAATGTTTATACAATTATATTGTGTTAACAACAAATAAAATCCAAGAGGTACCAGAAACCACCTTTGGTCAATCTATATATACTCAACTAACTTAAGTGGGAAATAAAGGAGAAAAATAAATCACTATTTTGGACTTCTGATACAACTACTTACTTTTCAGGAATCAGCAATAAAAAAATACACAATATATAAACAGCCCTGGCCATGTTCCAGTAAAACTTAACTTAAAAAACACATGGGACCCATAGGCCACACTTCTAGAATACTAAAATCTCTTTTAAATTTTCTTCCTATAACAGCTATTCTTTCTTGGTCTCTTTTGCTGGTTCTCCCTAATCTCTAGACACTGAAATGTCAAAAGCTCAGTTCTTACATCTGCTCTCTTCTCCATTTATAATCACTCTGAGATTATATAATCTTATCACTCAACTCCAACTAATGTCCAGAAGCTATTCTACTCCTAAATTTTTCTAAATTTTCTTCCCAAATCCCCTTTCATCATTTCCCTTAATACAGAAAACTTCCAGTTGTAATTTATGCACCACTGTATATGACTACAAGGCTTCACAAAGAAATGCTAATTACATAATAAATAGCTAAATATAAATGGAGTTGAGACAAAAAGAATTTAAGCTTAATACAACAGTGACAACAAATTATTAGTAAATTTTAACTGGCTAAATCATGCCAATTCTATCATTACTAACCTAAAGCAAAAAGAGAAGGAAACTCCAAATTCTATTCATTTTGTGTTCATCTACCTTTTTTTTTTTTTTAATTCTTTGGCATTCATAGTTTATTTAGTTTATCTTAAAGATCAAATGAAAAGGGAGGGGGGGAAAAGAAAGGGAGTGGAGAAGTGCTATCTTCCTATTTCTCCACAAGAAATAAAAGGATCAAAAAGAGGTGGGTGGGATGAACACAGTAGCCCAAAAGCTTAGGAGAGTCTGAAGTTTGAAGGGCCATCATTAAGAGGCCATCCAAGAATAAAAAGGAAAGACAAAGAAAAATATCCTTGGAGTTAACAATATAAGTATCAACGTCACTTCCTGGGAACTAGGAAGAGGCCCAGCAAGACAGAAATCAAAAACTTTTCCAGAGAGAGAAATCTTTATTTTGCTAGTGGTCTTAAACAGACTATGATTTTAATGATTTAATAACAGCTATTGAATAGTACTATGCAACAATTCAACAGTATCTCCAGACCTATTAAGGTACACCTGCAATATATTGTTAGTTTTCTCTTATTTTTGTAAAATCAAAATAGCTCTTCTATTTGCTTTCTAACATCTTTCACTATTTTTCGATGCTGGTCACACACATTATAACTGCTGCATTTACAACAAACGTGCTAAACAAGTGCCTAAAAATGACAGGTTTGTATTGTTTTCCTATTAGTATACCACATAAACGTCAGTAGCTGGAAAGGGAACTGAAGTCAGACTTTGGTACCTCAGTTTATCATTTTGTGTTTTGATGACATTAAAAATTAGTCAAAAACAAAGAAATTGATGCAAGTAACGCCTCAGCGGGTACACACCAACATGACATGTAGGAGAGTCTGCTGCCATACAAAGAGTGTAGTTTAAGAACCAATGAAAAAACTACTTAAACTCACAATAAACAAAATCAGAGAGGGTAGGGGAAGACACAAAATTAAAGTTCAGTTACTAGGTAAGAAATGAAATCTGCCATTAAAACATACCCAACTAAAAGCATAGAATCAGATTACACTCTAAAGGCAAATAACAAAAAAATAAACCCAACACTGAAATTTTAAAGTATGCAACGTGATGGCTTATTTTTCATTCTTTGAATTTAACAGCACTATATGGATGGTCTCCAACATCAAGATTTTGACATAGATAAAATGTACAGATTCATTAAATTACAAGCTATAATTGCTGATTTTTTTTTCTTTACAAAGACTACCATAATGCTTTCTGAAAGAGTTGTCCCAGTGCTGTATTTTGTATAAATACCTACTGAATGGATTAATAAATTTCACCACACTATTGCCTATTATCTTTCCAAAATATAAATTATGCTTGAAACTCTTCAAGAGCCCCTCTATTGCCATCATAATGCTTTTAGCATTGTAACCAAGGTCCCCCATGATAAGCTTCTCTGACATTATCAATTATTCATTTACTTTACAAATATTTACTGAGCACTTACGGTGTACCAGGCAACATTATAGCCTGATGTTGGTGGCTCAGAGCAGGGGTGATAACAGTTATGGGCTGGACTTCAGACCCATTCCAAAGACAGTACCAACAGCATTTCCTAATGGATTGTATCTGAGATATGGGAGAGGAAAAAAAATGGTTCCAAATTTTCTCACCTGAGTAAGAAGATGATACTGCTATTACAAGGAGTAAAACCTATGGTATGCATACAACAAAAGGCAAGGCTTCCTTGAACTCATCTGTGCACTCATAAAGTTACCCTCCTCTACCCTCCCAGAAAACCAATTTAACATTATCACTGTATTTACAGCCTTGGTCTGTGATTTAATTCTTATCTGCATCTTGGGGGTATCTTTAAATCCTTAGAACCAAGAAGAGCCTACCTAACCTCTCTACGTAAGTTCTTTGGAAATGAAGTCATCTTATAATGACCAAAAAAAAAAAAAAAAAAAAATCTCTACCTCCAAAACCTAAAATGATATAATATTAAAGTTTTCCTCTTTGTCTACTAGTCTTACCTCCCTGTTTTCACTTTAAACAAAGGTTTTCTAGCTGACATTCTGTTTTATTGAACAAGATTCCTCCTGAGATCTCTAAGAGAATGTCATACTATAGGAAAAGAAAGCTATTCATGGTAGTCTGAGGGAGATTAATGTTTTATATAGGAATAATGCTTCCAAGAGTTTGATCACAAAAGCAATTAGCCTTAAAAAAAAAAAAAGAAGAATGTTTTACCAGATGGAAAATGTAGGTGTTAATCAAATCATGAAGTTTCTATCACTTTTGATAAGTAATTTGGAATTAAGCTAAAAGTAACAGGAACCTCATGAAAGGGAAGGAGATCATTCAGAAGATAAAAGGAAGGGAGTAGCTTGGGTAGAATCAAGAGGGCTGAGGAAACAAATGAGTAAAAAGTCTTTATTGAATAGATAATCGAGTTTCAAGGGTTTTGGCTTCGAACAATGGTAGTATTGTTGCCTGGTCAAAAAAATATATATATTTAAAAATAAGATTTTATTGGGAAGAATAATTGAAAACATGATGTTACAATTGAAGGAAATAAACTAGTAGGCTGTTAGATTGTAATTTGTTCATTAAGTGATACCCAGAAACAATTGCTAGGACTTTGATCAATTATGTACTGATTTAGATTTTCAAAGTGGTATATTGGTCCATCTTATCTCTGTTCCTAGACTAGAAGTCACTTGTGAACAGGCTATATTTTCTACCTATCTATACCCTTTTCCAGAATTTACCATGATGTTGCTCACAGAGAGAGCATTTCATAATTATGAATTCTGTGAAGAATACATTAAGAGATCCTTCTATAGAGTCACCACCATTCTCAACGTCCTCTGAAACTAATATAAACTTAAAATTTTACCAGAATGTTTTATCAAACAGTTGCAAAAGCTAATAAAAATCTTTAAAACTTATATAATCTGCTAACCTGGCGAGCGTGTCTCATTTTGCGATATAACTTCAGACTCCTCTTTTTCACATGGAATATCCTCTTCATCAGAGAGGACCAAAAAGGCTTCTTTTGGTAAACTCTCACTACTTTCTTGTTTAGATGGAGATCCAAAAGAACCTTCCATTTTCTCCTCCAAATCTGGATTTGTCTCATCATTTGAAAGGAGAGAAGTTTTAGAAAAGCAAGTAAGTTCATCTTCAGCAGGAGCAAGTTTTTCCAAAATAGGGATGATTTCATCTGTCTCCATAGAATCTGCACTTTCTAAGATATTCTCATTTTTGTCGTCTTTTTTAACATTTTCATGAATGCTTTCTACAAGGTCTGTAGAATTTTCATCTTCATTCTTTTCACCATGGTCAATTTCCATACTGCTGGATATAGCCTCTTCTCCTAAAGCAAGCTCTGTAATAGGATCTTCCTCTACCTTCTTTTCGTTTTCATGAAGTAGATCTGAACAAATAATTGTATTATCTGTTTCTGCAGCTTCTTCACTGCCACCAATATTACTATCACCTTTTTTTTCCTGATCAAATGAATCTTTACACTGAATTTGATCTAACTTTTCATCATCATCTTTTTTTTCAAGAAAATCATCATCTTTTTTGCTACTCTGCCCTGTATTGTCAGCTTCAGTAATTGGTTCACAAACTGGTACAGAACTTGGTTCAAAGGTGGCTTCAAAGGTTGATTCAGAAGTCAGTTCAGAGGCCAATTCACCAGAGGCCAGTTTACCAGAGGCCAGATCACCAGAAACCAGATCATCATAGGCCAATTCGCTACAAGCAGGATCACCAGAAGATAGTTCACCAGGAGCTAGATCACCAGAGGCTGAATTATCAGAAGCAGGATCACCAGAACCTATTTCACCAGAGGCAGTTTCGCCAGAAACTGGTTCACCAGAAACTGGCTCACCAGAAATCACTTGAGTAGAAACCGGTTCACCAGAAGTGGAATCACCAGAGCTAAGATCACCAGAGACAGGCTCCCTAGAGGAAGGATCAGCAGAGGAGGGATCAGCAGAGGAGGGATCAGCAGATGGATCACCAGAGGCAGGATCTATAGAGGCTAATTCTTCAGAGTCTGGATCTACAGTGGCTGGATCACCAGAAGCTGGTTCAGTGGTCAGTTTAGAGGCTGATTCAGGAGTTATATTCTTAGGAGACAAAGGTTCACAACTTAAATTATCATCCTGCTTGTTTTTTACATTAACATTTAGGATACAGGACATTTCTTTCCATTCTGTTTTATTTTCTTCAGGATCAAAACAAATCTCTTCAATACCATTCACTTCCTCCTTATCTTTAATATAATCTATATTTTCCAAAGGTGAGGTTGGGTCCAAATCTCCATTTTCATGGTTGCCATTTAATAGCTTGACATCAGTTTTTAACAGTTCTTCTTTGACTTTGTACACAGCTTCAAGTTGTTGACGATCACTCACTCTCATTGTTTTCCGAGCTTTGAAGACTTTTTTCTGAGGTTCTTCTATACTATCCATTTTGAATCTTTAAAAAAAAGAAAAAGAAACGAGTTTAATAATTTAAACAGAAGTCACCTAATTATTGACTTACTACAAACTGATAGAACAAATTGATAAATGAATAAAAGCTTACATCATATGATTTTGAAATAACAAACCAAAAAATTAATCCTTGCTGTGTACTGATTTTCATATTTAATAGATTTACATAATACAAAAGTGACAACGTAGTACTGGGTGCAGTGGCGCACCCCTGTAATACCAATACCAGGGACTTGGGGGGGTGAGGCCCTAAGCAACTTAAGGAGTCCCTGGATCAAAACAAAATATAAAAGGGCTGGGGGTATGGATCAGTGGTTAAGCCACCCTGGGGGGGTTCAATCCCTGGTACCCCCCAAAAAAAGGTGACAATGTGAACAGTTCATACTAGAACATTAATTTACTAGGAAAAAAAAAAAAAAAACAGAAATAAAAAGACTAGTTTTCATTCTCCACGTGAGATATATAGAACCTAAAGGAGATACAGGAGAATACAAAAGCAGATGAAGAAAATTAGGAAAAAAAAGTGTAAAAATGAAAACAGAAGGGGATGGAAAAGACATAAAGGAAGAATTAAAGAACATATAAAGATTATATGTGAATCAAGCCTAATTATAAATTAACAGAAGTTTTTAATGTTAACAAGGCATTTACCATCAAAAAAGACATTGTCAATTAAAAATTTTAAATATTTTTTAAAAAGAAAGTGAAGAAAGTGAAGACAATTCACACAATGGGAGAAAACATTTGCAAATTCTATATTGGTAAGAGACATATATAAAATGTATATATGTGTGTATGTATGTATGTATCCACACACCCATATCCACAAACTAAATAGACCAATTTAAAAACAAACAAAGGTCTTGAATAGACTTGTCTACAAAATAACTCAGTAAGTGAATACTCTATAAGGAATAAACATGAAAAAGATGCTGAACACCATATGTCATCAGGAAAATGCAAATCAAAACCACAATGAGATAACACATACCAGGATAGCTGTAACAAAAGAGAATTCTGAATTCTGGAAAGGATGTAGAAAAATTTGAACCTTTAAACAATACTGGTGGGACTGTAAAATGGTGCAGCTGCTTTGAAAAACAGGCAGTTCCTCACCATGATAAACACAGAGTTGCCATATGACTCTGCAGTTCTTACTCCTAGGAATCACCCAAAAGAAACAAAAAGATTAAGTCCATACAAAAACTTACCCACAAATGCTTATAGCAAGCAGCATTACCCATAATAACCCAAAATTGAGAAACCTAAATATCCAGAAAACAATGAATAGATAAATAAAAATGTAGTATGTCCACACAATGGAAAATTATGCAGTCTTACAAGGAAAAAAAAAATAATGACATATGCTACAACACAGATTAATCTTGAAGATACACTGAGAGAAAGAAATCAGTCACAAAAGACTACATACTAAATGACTTCAGTTATATGATTTGTTCAGAATAGGCAAATCTATAGAGATGGGAAGTAAATCAGTGATTGCCTAGGGCAGAGGGTTTGGGAAGAAATGGTAGCTGCTAAAAGGTATAGGATTTCCTTATGGAGTAATGAAGATGTTCTAAACACTGACTGAGGTCATGCTATATAACTCTGTGAACATGCTATAAAAACAGTAAACTGTATATTTTTATGGGTGAACTGTATGTATGTGATTATAACAGAAAAGTTGTTAGCAAAAATGGTTGGGTTTGTGTGTATTTGTGTGTGTGTGTTGTATTTTATCTTGGCTAATATTTCTGTTTTACATCCGCTTTCTAGTTTCATTTGTTATTCCTCTTTTACTTTTTTGAGCAGGTTTAATTTACTACCTTTTTACTTGAGGTTCAAGTTTAATCAGTTTTTAATCTTTTCTCATTTATAATGTATATGCAGATACTATAAATTTCTAAGAGCTGATTTAGTTGCAGCTCACATTTTGATGTCATACTTCCATTATTACTCTATTAAAAAAAATACCACTATGGTATCTTTTTAAATCTAGGAGTTACTCAGCAGGGTTTCTTAAAAATGCATTTCTTAAAACGATAATACCTTACTACCAAGGGAAGCTCATTTAAAAAAAAATTCTAGATTGATTTCACACCCAAATATCAAGTAATACTGATCAAGAGCAAGTCATAAGCATTTGGCTTCAGTTCACACCCACCAAGGTGCGCAACAGATGAACGTCTGGTACCAGATTCTTATTGCTTGAATTGTGCAAACACATACACACACCCAGAGTCCTAAACCCCGATACCCGAGAATGTGATTTAATCTGGATAATGTTTTTAACCGAAGTAATTAAGTTAAAATAAGGTTATAGCATGAGCCTATCTAATAAACTTCAGAGACTGCCTTGACTTAATTCACAATAACACACAAACACACACATTTTTTCAAGAATGAAATGTACAGAAGGCAGAACAAATCCTTGCTTAGTATCTTCAGAGGGAGCATGGCCCTGACAACACCTTAATTTTAAACTTCTAACTTAGAGAATTGTGGGACAACAAATTTGCTGTTTAAGGAGAAAAACATGAGTTTGTGTGTTTGCAGAGCACTTCACCACATAAACAGAATAGTCGAAGAAAATAAACAAAAAAATCATTTCAAAATATTCATTTGACAAAAACTCAAAAACTGACTCAAAATTTTCAAGAAATTAAGAAAACACTCAAATTTGATAAAGGTTGTCTATACAAACATTATAGATATTATATTAATGGTGAAATAAGAATTAAGACAAAGATGTTCTGTTATCACCATTTTTATGTTAACACATGCCAATACAAATAAAAGAGGGTAGAGATATGATCCTGGAAGGGAAAAAAGTTATCAATCAATAGGGGATGTGTGGCTGAAGCCAGAGGTTCTTAAGTTTAAGGCTATCTTAGACAACTTATCAAAATCCTGTCTCAAAATAAAACTTTATTTTTTTTAAGAGAGAGAGAGACAGAGAGACAGAGAGAGAGAGAATTTTTATTTATTTTTTAGTTTTCGGCGGACACAACATCTTTGTTTGTATGTGGTGCTGACGATCGAACCCGGGCCGCACGCATGCCAGGCGAGCGCGCTACCGCTTGAGCCACATCTCCAGCCCTCAAAATAAAACTTTAAAGAAGGGCTGGGGATGAAGCACAATGCTAAAGCACTTGTCTACCATGCATGAGGCCTTGACTTAATTCACAATAACACACACACACACACACATTTTTTCAAGAATGAAATGTACAAAATGCTTTCACATTGGTTATCTTTCACCTTTATCTGCAGGAACGACTTGCTTTGGTCTGAGAGGGGATATATATATTTCATTCATTATGTATTTATTTATTTGTACTGGGGATTACAGAGAGGGGCTTTTACCACTGAGTTACATCCTCAGCCCTTTTTTGTATTTTATTTAGAAACAAGGTCTCACTGACTTGTTTAGCCTGGCTTTGAACTCACAATCCTCCTGTCTTAGATGCCCAAGCCACTGGGATTAACAGGCCTGCCTCATTGTACTTGGCCTTGGCCTGAGAAAAAGGAAAGAAAAAAGAAAAAGCAGTCTCTGAAATCTAGAAACCTAACTGATGCTACTCACAGTTAGGCCTCAATGTCATTAAATACCAATCTGATGCTTTTAGCTAAGCCATTCTGGTTTATTACTGAACAATAAAAACACCTTAAAAAACCTGCAAGACAGACAAGACCACTATGTATCCCACAGAATACCAAATAACCCCTTCTCTCACTATATGAGTGACGGCTATTTCTTTATCAATTATAGCTTCAGACTCAGTATAAACAGTATACTCCTTCACAGCTAAGATTTATTGAGATTTACTTCCCAACATTACCCAATCCAAAGTGAGGCTCTATAAATTTCTTTTCCTTAAATTCTCCCCCAAATAGCCTAACATATACTATAACCAAATCCTGTAATAATTTCTTTCCCCCCTACCATCCTGATGTACCTTACAGATTCCCTATGTAAGCACTCTTCCCTCCCTACAATAACAAGTGTATTCCTTGTGGTCTTTGGTAAAAGTATAAAACAAGAAGCCGGCCTATTTTCTGGAGGAATCTGACACTTTAACATAACACTTTCTAGGTTGTGGTATATATTCTGCATTTATTCTCTCAGTTTAAGTCAATAACGCAAAACATAATTTTTAGTCTTCCTAGCCTGTTAATTTAAATTATAGAACAGATTTAAGTTATTTGGAAAAATTGTTCAATTAAACAGACACCTTAATGCGAAATTATCACAGGCACTATTTTAGGTCTTAGAATTTAAACTTCAAGGTTTTTCCTTCCCCATCCATCCCAAAGTCATGTAAATCACAAAATTTCCTGGAAAGAAGTTACAATATGACTTTTGTAATCAACTTTCCTTGCTAACTCCAAAGATATAAAATAATTAAATATATAACGTAAGTTGCATGGTTACCCTTTAAATATTTTCAAATACTGAGAACCTCATAATGTCCACATTCTTCAAATGTTATATGGCTAGCTACAATTATCCTGAGTTTCACTAAAAGTAAACAATCCTTTTAAAAAATGTTCTTTGTAACTTTTAGTAACCCAATTAAGAAAATGAAATCTACATGGATTCATGGATTTAAATCTCAGTTCAGTATTTATGATGTGACACTGAGCAAGTTATCTATAATTTCAATTTCTTAGTTTTAGTTATATTAAAAAGGAAATAATATCAATACCTGCCAAAGAGGCTTCAGTGAGGGCTGAGATTAAACTAGTTATCACTAAAATTAATTAACTAGCACTAATTAATAATAAACACTGGCACTTAGAGTAGTAAGCACTCAATAATTATTATCATCATTGTCTATGAATATTCAGGATAATGTTTTAAGGCATACACTTTTAGAGTCTGAGGCAAATTTTTCCTAAGTACTTCTGGCATTTTTATTTATTAGAAAAATCCATCATATAAGCCTAGTATTTAATATTAAATTGCCTTGACCAAAT